TCTAAACAATGCATTGGAGAAACCGAAAACCTAATAATGAAGTTTATGTTTCCTGAGCTAGCTGTCTTTGTCTACGTAGCAACTGACACAATCAAATCCTAGGATGCTTCCAGTGGCATTCTCTTGGTTCCTCTTTCTTCCAAACTCCAACTCATAAAACCCCGGCCCTGTCTTTCTAGTTTCTCCATCCTTACATATTCACCATCTCGCTCTCTCTTCAATCTCCATCATCTCTCACACAAGAAAGTCACAATGTACCAAGAAGTCGCACTTCTCTTAGCTCTCCTCTTCGTCTCTTCCAACATCGTCGTATCTGCCCCAATCCGCGATGGTTAGTAACTCTAAGGCTCATATCTAACATAGTTTCTGTTCAACTTATAAGTTATGTAACTCCCAACTGAATTAATCTTTTCAGGTTTATTACCAAACGGCAATTTCGAGATGGGTCCTAAACCGTCCCAACTAAAAGGATCCATTGTTAAGGCACGAACCGCCGTACCGAGCTGGGAGATAACCGGTTTCGTGGAGTACATCAAAGCTGGTCAGAAACAAGACGACATGGTCCTGGTCGTACCGGAAGGCTCCTCCGCCGTCAGACTAGGCAACGAGGCCTCAATCTCCCAGAAAATCTCTGTCCTGCCAGGCCGTCTATACTCGATCACGTTCAGCGCAGCTCGAACATGCGCTCAGGACGAGCGGCTCAACATCTCCGTCACACACGAGTCCGGTGTCATCCCTATCCAGACCGTGTACGGCAGTGATGGCTGGGACTCATACTCTTGGGCTTTTAAAGCTGGTGGACCCGACATAGAGATTCGGATCCATAACCCGGGTCACGAGGACCACCCGGCTTGTGGACCGTTGATCGACGCTATCGCTATCAAGGCTTTGTTCCCTCCAAGATTCTCTGGATGTAAGTAAACCGGAGAGTAAACCAAAACCAAAACCGATTGAGTTATGTGTAGATGTTGATTTAATTCTTTGGTTTGCAGATAATCTGATAAAGAACGGTAATTTCGAAGAAGGGCCTTACGTGTTTCCCACGGCAAAATGGGGAGTATTGATCCCACCGTTCATGGAGGACGACAACAGTCCGTTGCCCGGTTGGATCATCGAATCTCTCAAGGCTGTTAAGTACGTCGACAAGGCACACTTCTTCGTCCCTGAGGGACAGCGAGCCATCGAGCTAGTCGGAGGCAAAGAGAGCGCCATTTCTCAGATCGTGAGGACCTCGGTTAACAAATTCTATGCCCTCAGTTTCAACGTAGGAGACGCGAGAGACATGTGCGAGGGACCGATGATAGTGGAGGCTTTCGCTGGAGGGAGCAAGATCATGGTGGACTACAAGTCTACGGGGAAAGGCGGGTTTAAACGGGGAAGGCTCGTGTTCAAGGCCGTGTCGGCGAGGACACGTGTCACTTTCTTGAGCACGTTTTACCATACGAAAAGTGATCACTCTGGGTCGATGTGTGGCCCGGTGATCGATGACGTCAGCCTAGTGGAGGTTGGGAAACTCCGAGGATGAGACCGGACTTTTCGTAGCTTTTTCTTTAAAAGTAGGAATGGGTCTTCTACGTACGTACTCATCGGTTAAATCAGGCAATGGTGGTTAATGCAATTTATGTGTCAAGTTTACATAATAAATGTAATTTGTACGCAATTGATTAGCTAATTATCGTTTCGATCGATATGCAAATGGAGTTATCATTTTCAACTATATTTGATTTGTAATTCAGTTTCAAGAGATTTGGTAGATCATGTATACCCGGTGAATGATCGTGAGACTGTCATTGTATAGAGAGTTCCCTCGTCTTTATTTTAGAGGTGTCAAGTGTGTAGTTAAAGTTGATTTGATTATTCTGATTGCTATAAGTTAGTTTTGATTGCGTCTTAACATATCACTTTAGAGCAAGGCAGGAGATATGATGGTTCTGATTCATATAGATACGATGGTTCTTATTTATTCATATATTTATTCATTCATATAGACAAAGCTGAAGAACCTAGCAACTATAGGTGTTGCATATATATATATATATATATATATATATATATTTAGATAATAAGCTATAGGCGGAAATTTTAACATTAGGGGACCTCCTAAACTGACAAGAGAATAAGGTATTGAGAAAACAAAAGTATGAAGAATTTCATAATTTTGATTTCTCAAAACCCAAAAGACACACAATATAAACAAAGTTAGAAGTCGTCATCATCCTCACGGAAGTCCCGGAAACAAGGCCATGGTTCGAATCTGCAAGCTTGGCATGAGACCCCCTCTAAAGCTGGCCACGGCAAATCCACTCCTTACCTGACTCGGACCTGTAAGATTCCGGATCCTGAACTGAATCACCGGGGTCGGGGGAGTGAAAGGAACCCGATGCTGCTGACGCTGCATCCCAAGTGCACTCAAGATCTCATCGTACTCACTCTCTCTCTCCATCCGTTCCCACATTGCCTGCCTCCCCGGGTCCACCCTTGGTGGGGTGAAACCGGTATGCCCGGTTTTCAAATGGTTATCAAGCTGGGTGTAAGTCCCCGAGAAGTCACAGTCCTCGACAGTGCAAGACCTCGGCTTAGCATTCATGAACCTTCTCGCACCCTTGACCTTCATCGTCTCATAAACCTCTCCTCTGCACAAAGGACAGTTCAGAGACTTTGGGGTCAAGCGGTTCTTGCTGTTCTTACGGTACTGCTTGAAACAGTTGGAGTGTCGACCGCTCGTGTCGCACATGTAAGGACGACACCCTTTTGAGGAGGAGGAGCAGTGCAAGAGCACGGCATTGTGCGGCGGCTCCATGCAGATCACACACCGGACTTCCTCCCACTGGCTTGCGCCTTCTGTCTCAATTGGAGACTCCTCAGGTGCTTTCTCTTTCTTGGTCCTTGTCGAGCGTAGCGGGTATGGTGACACTCTCACCCTGTTGCTTGGCACCGACACCACACGTCTTTCCTTTGCCATCCTCTCCTGCTTAATCAGACACAACAGAGCCACCATCGATTATAATTTTATAACACAACACCATGTTAACGACTTAGATCAATATCTTCCACACAACATTGATATTGACTGACACTAGTACAAAACAAATCACAAGTCCAGAGATCTGAAGAAAACGAATGTCTTAAGCAAGAAATCGAATTTTCAATGAATCAAACACAAGACAGTTGGATCAAAATGGAATTGAACTATATACACTAATGACAAATGACTAATCACAGACACAGATTTTTCGATCATCATTTCATTAACGAGGTAACGCCAATCCGCATTTGATTCGGATTCAGATTTTTTGATTTAATGCGGATTACTTCGAATTACTAATCGAAGAGTTGTTCATAGCTATCGACGACCAGAGATTTTTCTGATCAGAAGGCCCACAAAGGCGCTAAACGACACAAGTTCACCAGATCAAGAGCTCAATGGGATCGACTGGTAAAATTGGAATAAACCCATCAAAGGATCGAACAAAAAGCGGGAAAGGTAAGTACCTTTGCCGGAGAAAATCTCAGAGAATATGATAAATACTTATGGAGTTTCTTCTGAAGCGGTGAAGATGAGAAATTTTTATGCGAGTGCCTGTTTGTGTGATTTCTCTATGGCCTTTTATAAGCTCCATCTTTCTCATCTTTACTATTATGCCCTTCTCTTTTGTATCTCCACCATTTTGGCTTTCTTTCCCAAACTAAATCCAATTATATGTCTTTTTCTTGTTATGTTTTGCACAATTATGGATTTTTTCTTCCTTTTTTCTTTCTTTTTTTTTCAAAAAGAGAAAATTTAACAATTCAATGGGATACACTAGCAAAGGAATCACCATTGTCATTGTTTGTAAAGTTGAAAAGGTTAAAGTATATACAAACTAACAAGATTTAAAGAAGAAACTGTACAAAATTCATAAACTCCAGTAATGCGGCGCCGACATTTGTCAAAAATTTGAATTAACACTTTATTTACTTACACTTTTTCATAATTTACTTTTATTTCAGATTATAAGACACTAATATTAGTCAAAATTAATAAGTAACAAATCAATACGCCGCCGATATTAGTCAAAAATGATTACTCATACACATATATTACTTACTTTTAATTCAAATAAAATTAGATACCAACATTAGTAAAAGTTACTAAACAAATTATTAATACTTTTTGTCATTACAAATTTTTGATACTATCACAACTCCTAATTATGACTTTAAACTAAGATAATACGGCACCGACATTTGTCAAAATTAATAAATAACGAGTTCCAGCCATTTGAAATTTTATTAACTAAAATCTCTAGAAAAATATGTTTTTTTTTTTAAGTTTTATTGATCTTGTTTGTAATGGTATTAAATTTCAAATATCATTTACCTAAACTCATTTAAGGTATTAAATTTTTGTATAAAAATCTTTGAGATTCAAACCAAATTTGAGTTTCCTAATGAATTTGGTTGAATGAGATAATAACAAATCATACACATACCATAATGTGCTCAACTTTGACCGTGTTACTTTTGATGTGTTGCCAAAGTTGTGATTTTTATGTATATCCCTTTGTATTCAATGTTTTTTTCCTTACCATTTATCATGTTGCCCCTTCTTTGTAATAGACTAAAAGGGATGAAAAAAGGCAAGATAGATATTGATTTTGGTGTAAATTGGGGAAATTGGGCTCGAAATGTAGAGAAGAATTAGAGTCTGAGAAATAAAAGGCCCATTACGAGACCCAACGTAATTTATCAACCTTTTCATAACGGGTCGCCTAATCGACGGCCCAGATGATCTGAGGACTGAATGGGAACACCGTAGGCTGCGCGTACGATATAACTGTCATTGATTGAAGAACTCTGCGCAAATTTAACACTGTACCTCTTCTTCCCCAGTTTGGCCTCAGAAATCGAGGGAGGGAGAGAGTCAATAAAGAGAAAAATTGAAGAATCTGGGGAAGTAAACGAATCGATTGCGGAACAATGTCTCTGACATGCGTAAACATGTCCGAGGATGTGTGGTTGACTTGCCTGACTCACGCATTGTCCACAGAGACGGAAGAAATCATGGGACTCCTCCTCGGCGACATCGAGGTTCCAACTCTTTAATTTTCGAATCCGGAATGCCCTTTTGCCTCTTGTTTCCCTTTACCAGTCTCGTTTCATTGGATATTTTGAGAATTGGGTCCAAATTACTCTGTGTTTGTTTGTCATTCGTTATTGTGATTAGTACTCGAAAAACGGAAGTGCGACAGCTGTGATATGGGGAGCATCGCCTCAGTCACGGTCTGATCGGCAGAAGGACCGAGTAGAAACCAATCCTGAACAGTTGGCTGCTGCTTCAGCTAAGGCTGATATATCCTTTTCCTTCAAATTAAAAAAAATTGTTGCTAAATCTCTCTTCTTATGTTGTTTTGGTTAAAACTTAGAAACAAAAAAAAAGAGTGTTTTTTTTCCTTGACAAACAATGGCACAGAATGACCATATCAACGGGCAGAACAACAAGGGTGATAGGATGGTACCACTCCCATCCTCATATCACTGTACTTCCTTCCCATGTTGGTATGTATACTATCAAGTTACGACTTTTTTTCTATCTAGCAACTTTTCAGTGAGGGTTGAGTAGCATAGCTATGTCCTGTTTTTGCTGGCAGATGTTCGGACACAAGCAATGTATCAGCTTTTGGATACTGGCTTCATTGGCCTCATCTTTTCTTGTTTCAGTGAAGATGCAAGCAAGGTTAGTCTTGTATCTATAATCATTTTATTGGAAAAAAAAGGAAACTTTGCAAGAAAAGTTCTTCTCACTTGTTGGATGAATTGGATGTATAGGTTGGAAGAATCCAAGTTATCGCGTTCCAGTCCTCTGATGGAAAGCCCAATACTCCTCCTAAACCATTGAGCCTGCGACTTGCAAATAAAGATTCTGTCGTCGATTTAGAATCCTCATTAAGTTCTTCAGACTCGATATTCCAGAGTTCCTCTTCTGCTCGGGGAGACAATCCTGAGCAAGACACTAGTGATACAGCTACCACTTCTGGCATTAAGGTCTGAAGCTCTATAGTTCTCTATGTTCAGCCGAGTTTAGTGAAAGTTGTCAAATGTTAATTTATATATATATGCACATTGATGTTTGAGCCTTGTATGTGTGTTAGGGTGGAGGACGAGTTTCAGATTTTGGGGATTTCTTTGTAAACAATGCTGAAGCCAACACCATGGGGAGAGATGTGACAAGTGGAAGCTACAGCTCAGGCAATCTCAGCAGCTCAGTTGTGGGAATTGATCCAATGGACATGTCTGAAAGCATGCAAGAGGCTATGCTTCGTTCAAATATGGAAACCAGGTACTTGTTCTCAGCATCCGCATTTGGGGCTTATGAACAACATTGCTCCATTCATCTAATCCAAAACTTGATTAACGTGCAGCGGTGATGGTATGTTAGAAAAGAAGTCCCGCTCCATGTTTTGCCGACTTCAACCCTTGTTCAGCTCAATTCACCTTTAGCATCTTTTAAGGATCTGCAAAGAGTACTCTACGAGGAGGAACGAGCAGCGTACCACCAATCTCTCCTGCAAAACACCAGGTTTTCGACTCTCTCAAGTCTTTTTATACATCATAGAGAGTTGGTGCAAAAAGCTCATTATGTTTCTTCTTTAGAGCCGGGAAAGTACATCCTCTTGCTTTCATTCACAACACATCGACATATCAGGCTTCAATGTGCAAGCTGATTGAATACTGGTTAGTCAAGCGTGTACAAACATTTGAATACACGAGGTTTTTCTCATTTGTTGCGTTTTTACATAGGTAGGCTTCATTTTTTTTTTCTTTTTTTTTGCAGCTTGAGTCCCGCCATTAACGCACTTCAAGATAGGGTGAAGGAAAACAAGATCCGGGTATGATTCTCCCCTCGTAATCACTCTCACTCTCATGGATGTTGTGTTTGTGTTTGGTTTTGAAACATATCGTCTTGTGTGTTGAGTAGTTAGCAATGCTGATGGAAGAAGCCGAGGCTCTGGAGGCACAGAAACTTAAAGGTTCAGCAGAGACGAGCGGAGTAGCACCTCGTCTGGCTCACGGCTCTGGCAGCCGAAGCAGAAGAGGATCCTCCTAGTGATAGTAAAGGCAATGCCTTGCTCTTTGTGTATTTGTGCTGATTATCAGATATTTGCGTATTTATGCATGTGCACATTTGTAATGAATATGAGATGGTGGGAAAAAGGAACCTTAAATTGCAAAGTCATGATGAAAATGGGTTAGCCACCAAGATTGTTGCATACAGAAAATAACCGAATCTCTGTTGTGTTGTCTAAAAGCAGTAATAGCGAGCTCTTCTACCTCTAACCCCCTATGTTATTGAAGCAGAAGCAGCCTAGTCCTCCTCCTCAGAGAGATTTGGAAAGGGGCTTGGATCTGCAACAGCGGATGATCTTCCTGACGTCGCTTCGTATGGAGAGGAATGCAGAGAGGGAAGCGAGAAAGAGCGTTGGGTAGACACGAACCGAGTTTCTGGCGGCGCTTCTCCAGCCATGAGGAGACGAGTCGAGTAGAAGAATATCTCTGATAAGACCCCAAAAGATCAAAAGCGTTCCAATGAAGGTTAATCTTCTGGGTTTGAAGAGGCTCAGCAAAGCTCCTAGCAGGCATAAACAACTCCCAGCAAACACCTGTGCACCAAATTATTGTATATGAACACTAACCAAATGCAGAGAGCGAGAGAGGAAGAAGGAAGCAAACCTCTAGATGATGGATATCGGTGGATGTGTTGTTGTGGTCGAAACTGTAAAAGCTGAGCAATTTGTGATAGCTGGGGAGTCTGGAGCCGGAGATAAGAGACTTGGCAATGGCACCAGGATAAAGGAGGGTCTTGACAAGCGACGAAGGAATGGCTTCATTTCCGAATCCAATCAGCTGAGAGGAGATGACCTCTAGTGGTGTTTCGCAGCTCTTTTTCCCGCACGCTACTCTGCAAACGGATGAGAGAAAGTGAGAAACAATCCCACAAGAAGAGTTTACAAATTAACACGTTTTTCGCAAAAAACATAACTCAGCGCCTATCTACAAGGAAGGAAGGAATCAACGATTTTGCTCGAATCCTATACAATCCTACAATCCAATTGCTGTCAGCAGTCCAGACCTCGATGCAACCCACATATTCAACAGGAAAAACCCTAATGCCGCAAGCCATTTTGATTGATTTTGCAGACATCAATTTCAGTTTCTTTTGCGGTTTCTCGGCGTTCGTTGAATGAGAAAAAATGGTTTGGAGATGTTACCTGAAAAGCGGAATCTGGAAGACGATGAGGAACGCAAACAGAGAAGAAGCGATTACGGAGATTAACGAAGCCAATTTCTTATTAGAAACAGCCATTGGATGGATATCGATGAAAAATTCAAAGGTTTCGCAGCAGAGGGAAAATTTTGAGAGGAAGATAGAAAAGGCCGATTAATTTGTTTTATTTTATGTTGTTACCCCCACGTCTTTTCTTTTCTTTTCTTTTTTAGCATGAATAAAAACGGCACGTTGTTTTGCATCTCTTATTGAAAACGACAAGTACTCAAGTAGCGGAAGAAGGCTAAGAGAGCAAGAAGCCAATTGAAAAAGCAGGTCAAACCATATGGATTTGCTTCAAAACACTATCTCTGCTCTGGAGAGTTTTTCTCATTGAATACAAAGTTGTTTGTGCTGTTCAATGCAAATGCTTCCGCATTGCCCTGTTTGTTCCTAGTGATGTAATGCAACAGAGAAGTGTAAAGTAACTTTGGAAGAGAAATGAAAATATAACTGTGCTTGTACATGAGTTTTGTATGAGGTTTGATGTTGGTGTCTTACAATTATACAAAGACGTTTGTATGCTTACACATTCTTTCATCACTGATGAGATTGAGAGCCCACCACACAGCTTCTTTTATAAGATGAATCAACCTGTCAGCTCCTCCATTTGTCCCTATTTTCCGAATTCACATTTCAACTTTTAGTAATCAACGTTTTATCTACATACATTTCTGCCAATTTTCAATAAACTATTGCTTGCAGACTTTTAAGCTTCTCATTTAATATATACAAGGCGGAGAAGTTTGTCATTCCAGATACTAACCCGAGCAATGTAGGGTTCGGCATCAGTTCGTTTAAGGAAATGCATAGAGTGACGAGAGAAATTTGTTGTTTTGTCACTCAGCACAATTCCTTCGTCGATGTTCTCCATTACTCTCACCTTGATGTAAGGATCTTTTGGAGGCACCATGTCCTTCAAGTAACAACATTATAAGAAAGAATCCAATGATATATATATCATGAAGGCAGTGTGTTGTAGGAAAAGAAGAGGACTTACGACATTCAGCTCCATTCCTTCTTTGCCCATGTAGGTTTTGATAGCTACTGAATGGTTCTTGAAGTACTCTTTCTCCAGTGTGGTGAGCTTCTCTTGGATTTCAGAAGGAAGGTCGAGAAGCTCAAGCCCTACTCTCCACGCCAAATCACGCACTATCTCTGCTCTATTGTACCTGTATAGAGAGACACACCAATTGCAGTGAGTGAGTCTTGATTTAGTGTTGTTGAGAGCGAGAGAAAGTGATACTGACACATAGGCCATGAGGCAGCGCTTGTTACGGATCAGAGAAAGGTGGTGAATCAGTTCTCCGTAGTGGTCCGCGTTTCTGTTGTTCTGAACATCCAACCCTTGTTGTTGCATTTTCCTGTAAGTGGAAAACATCAAACCTCAATCAGGACTCAGGAGAAGTCGTTTCTCATGGATTACTGAATTAGCAAATGCATGAGGCGCAGATTTTGTAATAACCTAATCAAGGACTGGATAAGATGGTGGTTCTGGTCGCATTCTTCAACTGCCTCGTCAAAGAGCTTGCTCTGTTTGCCAAACCAAACAAAAAAAAAGGAGAAAATGAAACTGACCATGCAAGCATCAACATGACAACATTGGTCTATCATCTCTTATATATGGCTCAATTTCCAGCTATAGCCTAATATGTTGGCCTAATTTTCCAGTCATCCTAGTTTTCACATTCTCTGAAGAAAACCTCTTGTTAATTGCTTAGGTAATCTGTAACTATAGCATTGGCCATGAATGATTCAACCCAGAACTGAACATTTCCCAGCATTCAATCATTCACATAAAAATCGAAAGCAACATGAGAAATGGAGAGAATGAGGAGGACTTACATTGAAAGGTTTGAGCTGTCCCTTGTCGCCGCCCGCAAAATCTTTCAGCAGCTGATATCCTTTTCTACCGTACATATTGAATCGCCTGCTTCACGTCTCTTGTTTACTTTCTGAAACCACTCTCACACATCTATCTATTCATCAAACACCAATCAAAACTGCCGTAAATGCAAATTCTGACTCAAACAACCGAATCGAATCGGTTGTGATTTAAGTTATTCGCCGATCTATAAACTTAAATAATTGGACATACATACCACTAGAATATAATTCCGTGGTGGGGGTGTGGAATGGGGATGGATCTGCACCGGCTGCGATCAATTCCGGAAAATGGTCGGATCAAATCTCAAAACCATTTTTTAAGTGGCTTTGGGAATTTTAGGCGGGAATCATAAGGTTTCAATATTTAGCGCCAGAAAGAAATAAATAATCCCATCTTTCTCGTAATTTATTAGTTTTCCGTCCACTCCCGTATCTTCCATAAAAGAAAAAGAAACAAAAAAATTCATGTTGACTCAGAGATTCTCTTCGTAATCTCTTCTCTGTTTTTACTTTGACCTTCTAAGTGATTGTAATCTTTGATGTTGTGGATAAGAGATGATCAATTTGACTGGTACTGATGGACTGATGGTGAGATGGACATTGTGCGCATATGTGTCACATTCTTGTCAATATTCTTTTTCTTTTTATTGTCTCTTTTTAATTTTTATTTTTAGGCTGACAATTCAGAATTTAATTATCCACAAAAAAAAAACGTTGATTATGTTGGTTTACCAAATCATTAGAAAGACACAAATCAACGGATTAGTGAACAATAGTACAAGATATTAGGTGTTCCCTCAAATCTTCAGTTACGGATAAGGGGGGCCTCTTTTATTTTTTTTATAACCATGATCAAAATTTTGAAATAAAAGCCGTTTGGTTCGCATGTTAGCTAGTTTAATTGAACCAACTCAAGATTTGAAAGGCGATTTGAAAGCATGGGTTCAGATTTAATTGGGGATTACGATATGGCCACGCAATATTTGGCTACCCATTTGAAAAAGCGGCACATGAATGGTTATTGTCCACAAGATATTGCAAAATAATGCACACCTTTCAAAGTTTCTTTATTCGAAGTCTTTTATTTTAGGAAAAAATTGCTTTCCAATTCATGTGATTAGTATTTTTAATATCGAAGAATCAGTCATCTGTGGAGACTTGTAGCTTCTACCAACCAAATCAGGCAAACGAACAACGGTGGATTTCTTCCACAGAAACAAAGTCGAACTGTCAGATTAATAAAACTATACATTGATTACGTGTTATTTTATACCTTAATCTATATGATAGGTAAGTGACTATTATTTTTGTTTAAAGTAGATTTTAAATTTCTAACACCTACCACCCAAAAACCTTGTCTCTACTCCCACACATGTATCCATTGCTTTCCTTTGAGTTTGACCGAGTTTTCTCTACCGTTAACCTACGTAACAGATAAAACAAAATGATTACGCATGTAACATCATGGTAATATTTGGTCAGATAATTCAAGAATCAGGGGGATAATAAAGAAAGAAAATAAAAAGGAAGAAGATGTCAAAAAATAATTAATTTGGAAGGGACAAAACTTATTTAAAGAATTAAAGATAAGAAGCAGGAAGAAATGAAGAAGTCTGAAACACAATGATCAACCACTTTTAGCAAAACATCAAAAACAAAAAAGACGACGAAAACAGAGTGAGAGGAAAACAGAAAAAAAAAAAAAAGAAAAACGGAGGAAGAACAGTTGCCGTCATCCATGGCGGGTCTTCAGCGATCCACCATCTCCTTCCGCCGACAGGGGTCTTCTGGTATAGTCTGGGACGATCGTCTCATCGCCGAGCTAAACCAACAAGCCAACGACCAGAAAGGCGAAACTCAACAGCAGGACGAACAGGCTAAGCTGATTATGTCGGAAGGCCACGATCAGGCTGCCGGAGACGGAATTAAGCCAATCAAAACCGACGGAGGCATCGAGAGGAGTCGATCTAACGGCGGAGGAGGAGCTACCCGTTACCATCGAAACACCGGAAGAGTGTCTCCGGCCGTGGATCCGCCGTCGCCGAGATTGTCGGCGTTTGGTTGTTGCTCTGCCTTCGGGAAGAAACCGCCGGTGAAGAAATCGGTTAACCAGAGGAAAAGGCCAGCGAAGCGCAGATCCAGGTAGGAAGTTTTAGCGGAGGGAAAAGCAAAAGTAAAGAAGACACACAAAGATAAGAAAATGAGTATATAGAGAGTATACTGCTACTGAGTAATGAGTAATGAATATCTTTCTTTCTATCTTTGTTTTCTTTCTATCTTTGTTTGTTCTTCTGCTTTATTGCAAGACCTGTGTTGAACTCAGACCATGTACCTCATGTCTTATGTCTGTTTGGGTTCCAATTCTGCCTGTCGATTACCGATTTCTCACGACCTTAGATTTGAAAAAAATCAACAATATTCTGTGCAAAATAAAACGAACAGAATTCTGGGTTATTTGACCTGATAATTTATTTGTCGGATTTCTCAAAACTCGAGAGCTGACGGCGGCGACGACAGATGTAACAACCTGCAGTGATTTTTTTTTTTATCCGTTTTGTCGTATAAATTAATTTGGGCTTTGCGTTACGAAAAAACTTAGTTTGGGCTTTAGCCCCATAACATCGAACTATATAAGGATATCACATTTATGTTTTTGTTGACAAAGATTCAGATTTTAATTGATTACCAACATTAACCAAATCAATCAATAATGTATGGAAAATTTCAGAAGGCGTCATCAATAAATCCCTGAAAAAATAGAAGCTCTCTTGCTTTCTGGCTAAACATAACGTCATTTCACCAAAGCTTCAATCAGGAAGGTAGAAGATGGAATCTAGAGATCCATAATTCTTATTTTCAATTTGATTATAAATATGCATCTCTCTGTTTACGCCAAAATCATCAAAATAATTTGTTTAAAGTAATGTTTGTTGTACGTGCCCACCTCATCTTCGTGAATGTAAAAGTGTGTTTGGTTTTAAAGTTAACGAAGCCACTCGAATCCTAAAGTTCACGCCAAAATCATCATGACTTATTCATGCAATATTCTTGTCCCCCGCTTTTTGTTACTAATCGTTTTCTCACTCGCTCTGACCGCAAACGCGGATTCTTTCGAATCGCTCCTCCAGCTCCCTCGAAGACAGTCGCGCTCCACCCGGCCCCGACTCCGACCTAGATCCGAACGGCTCCTCCACGTCGGCGACTACGGAGCCAAAGGCAATGGCTTCAACGACGACACTCAAGTAACATATCGATAAACTTTATCACCTCCAGAAATATTTGTTTCCTGCTCAATAAAATCTTGAATCTAGAATCCACTGAAATCTGGATATTTCGACCAAATCTGATTAAGAATTAGGAAAAACCGAAAAACAGACAGCGCCGGGAGATACTTAAAATTGTGAAAATGGTGATTGAACGCAGGCGTTTGCAGAAGCTTGGAAGAGAGCTTGTTCTTCCAAAGTCAAAACAAGAATATTGGTCCCACAAAACTACACTTCCCTTGTTAGGCCCATTGATCTGTCTGGACCTTGTAAAGCAAGACTCACTCTCCAGGTAAAGCTTCCAACAGCTTCTTCTTGTTCTTGTCCTTGTTTCTATTGCCTTTAACTATATTGCCTCCTCTGTTCTAAATATATTGTACCAAACAGATATCTGGTAGAATCATTGCTCCTGAAGACCCAGATGTCTGGGAAGGCCTAAACCCTCGGAAATGGCTATACTTCCATGGCGTGAGCCGCTTGACCGTAGAAGGAGGCGGCACTGTAAATGGAATGGGGCAAGAATGGTGGAGAAGATCTTGCAAACACAATCACTCCAACGTTAGTTACTTAGTTTCCCTCTTTTTCTTCTTCTTGACTCTTGAGAGATTATTAAAGGTATTAGTTAATCTCACAACCATCTCTCTTAATTTGCAGCCTTGTCATGGCGCCCCAACGGTAAGCAAGAAAGCATTCAAATTAGTATGTGAAACTCTGTTAGTTACTTAGTTCGTTGGTGTAGGCGTTGACATTCCACAACTGCAAGAATATGAGAATTGAGAACCTCAATGTGATGGATAGTCAACAAATGCACATTGCCTTGACGAGCTGTCGCCGTGTGACCATCTCTGGTGTAAAGGTCATAGCTCCGGCTACTAGTCCCAACACAGATGGGATTCACATTAGCGCCTCTCGTGGTATCCTTGTAGACAACACCACTGTCAGCACAGGTCCGTGTCCTATCCTTCTTAACCAAACCTTTTTAAAATCTAGTAGTATTACATGATCTCTCAGTTTCAGATGTGTTTGTGTAGGAGATGATTGTGTTTCCATAGTAAGAAACTCTTCACAGATATACATCAGCAACATTATATGTGGTCCTGGCCATGGCATTAGGTATAACTAAACTAAACCATACAAGAGACACAAAGAAAGCATAATAATATTATCTAAACTAGGTTTGAAGCCCCGCGCAAGCGCGGGGTTGTTTGCGATAGTTTTTTATTTCATTTTATTTATACTCGTTGATTTGATTTATGATGGTTTTTGTGTTAATTTTCATGTTTTTGTTATGTTTTGAGTTAACTCAACCACTAACACTAAAAAATATGAATAATTTGTTTTTTATTTATTTTAATTTATTAGAATATTAACACCAGCTTTTATATCGATTTTTCTATTTCTAAAATTTTATCATGTTATAATTTTTTTTTTAACTTCTATTAGACTGTAAACATGTATATGTATTTGATTAAAGGTTAAAATTTATAAATATGTATATGCATTTAACCATTTGACTGAAGGTTAAAATTTGTAAACATATTCTTGTTTTTCACCACAATTAAATATTCATATAAAACTCTATTTCTATTTTTTAGAAAAACAAACTCTAACTCTAATTTTTCATTAGGTTTCTATTATCCTATAACATTTTTAGATAGGATAATCCTTTGAATAAAAAGGTAAATATATACTATTTGAAGTTTAATATTTCTTTACTCTATCTCTATTTTATATTTTCTATTAATTAATTAATTTATTTGTATCTTCTTATTAAATATAAATAAATGTAAAGAAATATGAATAGTCATATATTTAATAAATATTTTAAATACTATTTAATGTTTTTATGCTGATGTGGACACTCTAGATGGAGAGAGCAACTCCCTATAAGATGTACTAGACTTGTTTTTTTGTGTGTAGCATTGGAAGCATAGGAAAATCGAAATCTTGGGAGGAAGTTAAAGACGTAACGGTTGATACGGCCTTCATATCTGACACTACCAATGGTGTTCGGATCAAAACATGGCAGGTGATAATTCATCTCAAACTTTCACATACACTTTCTGAGATTGAAAAGCGCTTTGCTCATTATCTTTGACCAGGGAGGAAGTGGTTTGGTCTCGAACGTACTCTTTAAGAACATCAATATGAACAATGTGTCGCACCCCATTATCATTGATCAGTATTACTGCGATTCCCGGAAGCCGTGTTCTAATCAGGTAACTAAAGCAAGTTGTGGTGCCATTACTTTCTTGAAATAGCTCTCAGATGTATTGAAACTGAAAATTCTCGTTACAAAAAAACTGCAGACATCAGCTGTTACCATTGAGAAAATCTCATATGTTCAAGTGAGAGGCACTTCAGCGTCAAAACAAGCAATCAAGATCTCTTGCAGTGACACTTCACCGTGTCGCAACATACATTTAGAAGACATTGATCTTGAGCCATCAAACGACGATGGTTTCACAGAGTCATTCTGCTTTGAAGCTTATGGTTCGAGTTCAGGTGAAGTGTACCCTCCTCCTTGCCTCTCTGATGAGACAAGCGTCTTGGAACAGTCTGTCCCCTCTGGGACCTCATCTGTATTAGACCTTTGAAGTCATACGTTTTGAGATTGCAAATCTTCCACCTCTGTGAAATGTAACGAATATTCACGTTTTAGAATTCGCTTCACCAAAAGGAATATTGTTTATGACAAAACCGGTCCATAACATATTGTTTATTTTCACAATCTTTAAAAGATTAAAATTGAAAAGGAGAATAGTCATCGGAGTGGCGAAAACGACCGTCGTGGACGATGCTCTTATCTTGTTAGTGTTAGGTTCTCTCTAGTCTCTACTAGCCTTATGAATAATCAAATCCAATTGTTGGGCAGGATTTTATGTATGCCTTTGCTTTTCAAAGAGAACCTTAGATTTGATGCTTAGTTTCCTATTTAATTTAGATGCGTATAGTATAATAATTCATCTAGAGGATATAAAGTAAGAAAGGGAAGCGAAGTTGCATGATTTTAAATTTAAATAAAAGCTGATATTTTGTTCTTGTTGTCTAAACTGGTTTAGATATTTCAAGTGGACAAGTGATGAAAGGATAGGATTTAGCTATATCTAATTGTCAAATTCAACATTCGATCTCTTATTGATATATGAGTTTATTCCTTCCGTATGGATAACAAACACACAAATAAATTCCTATAAATACATCCCCAAATTAAGACTCACCATATCATCAGCACAAAAACAAAAAAAAAACAGAGGAAGATGAGCTCCTTACAACAACTTTCTGTGCACCCTACCAACTCCAAGGTTATTACGGAGAAGAGAAGATCGGTGACGATACCTTTTAATGGAAGTAAGTTAGAGAGCAAGCCAACGACGACGATTCATGACGTGGACAAATGCGCAGAAGCTTTCATCCAAAACTTCCGGCGACAGCTTCTCCTTGAAAGCGATAACATCCTCCCTAGAGGAGCTCTTTGATATATATATTTGACCCATCTCTCCTTCCCTTTTTTACGCTGATTTCAGTTGTATAATGTCACAATTTGTACAAAACCAGAAGTTAAAAGAATGAAACAAGTAATGAAGAGAGTTTGTCTTTCTTTTGAGCTAAATGGTCATTTTCCTTTATGAGGAATCACATCAACATGAGTCTTTATTTATTACAAGCAATATTAACACACAATCGAAGAGAAGAAACACGTGACAAATGTATAAATTTGGTGACCAAAACAGACTAGTTATAAGGAGATGAGGACAAGACAGGTAACCGATTAACTAAGGAAGGATCAGAGGAGGATGGAGCAGCTGGTTGGTGGAGATTGAGACGAGAGCAGGAGCGAGCCATCTCACCAGCAAGAAGAGGGACCACAGGGAGGCTGTCGCAGTTGCAGATCTCGATCATGAAACCGTCAGGGTCGTGGAAGAAGAGCTGGTCCACTTGGATCCCTCCTTCTTCCACTACTGCTCTCACATGCTCCATCTCCATTTCCTTTAGCTTCTTCTCCACCGCTTCCATGCTCTCGCACTGCATCCAAACACTTGTATCAATTTTTTGTCCGTTTCAATATCAAAATTTATGAGAATTCAGAGAGATCGGACCCTAATACAGTATCTTATAAGAAAAGATGGCATGATGGTTAAAATGAAAAGAAGTAAAAAAAGGAAGGTTACCTGGAAAGAAATGTGATTATCCTTGGGATTAATCTCTGTTTTCTTGAGTAATTTCTCTGGTTCTGGAGACTGCAGAAGATGAATCCCAATCCCATGACCAAACAACCTACTCACGCACACACACACGAAAGTAAAAAGTTAATTACAAGTAATCCAAAATTCAAAAGAAATCTCGTTTTATCATCAAAAAGAAAAAAAAACAGAGTATGTATGTACCAAGCGCCATCAAAATCAAAAGAGCAAGGTCTCCGGATCGGGAGAAACCCTAAAACGTTCTGATAAAAGTTCATGGATTCCTCGACGGATCGACATACAAGAGATATGTGATTCAACGACTTGAGATGAAGAGGGTTTCGCGTGTTTTCCTTCATTTTCCCGACCAAAACACAAACAAACAAAAAGATTATCCAATGCCTCGCTCCTAGTCCTATCAACAACCTTGGAATCCGAAATCCGAAATCTATGGCGTCGCCGTTAATAAATGAGCAAGTCGATTTGTATTAGAAATTAGGATGATCATCTATGTATATGTATATATATATATATATATGTATACACGTGTGTGTCGTGATCGACTAACCCACGGAACTTATCTGATGATGGCGATGATGCCTATGTTTTATTACTTACTATATATGCGTTATAACTTGTAACGAGTGTGTTTATCTTTATCCAACTTTGGACCTACACGTAAGTAAGTTGTCCTTCAAGATTCACAGAGAGTCTTGTTCCTTTAGTTTTCCTCTATAGTTTGTTTTATCTTCTTGCATCAACAAACTTTTAAATTACAAAGCGCTATCACTTTCCGCCACAAATCTACCGTTACACTTGCGACAATCAATAAAACTTTTGTTTGCTTTCTCATATGTGGCCTCAAAAGTACGACATCAAAACAAATGTAATAATACCTCCATGTATTTATTTTCATAACCAAGAAATAAATAAATAAACGATTGCTTTAATCGCTACACACAGATTCAGGGTCCTCTGTGGCTAACAAGGAAAAACTTGTTGCCTCTAGTCCTTTTCTTCTCTTGTTTAAGGTTCCTCCTACTGTAGCAGCAGGAAAGCCTGTGAATGTTGTTGTTACGAAATCGCCTTTCCTTTTGGCTCATTGTGTAAGGCAAGTGTGCATTAGATCCTATCGCTTTCTCCAGCACATGACAAAAGGTTGGTCAACCAACCTTTCGGATGCCATTTCGCTCTCGACCTGAAACCAAAACAGGACTTAAGATCTTGGAAAATAGCATAACAAACTTGATCTATGTACAAAGCAAAACTTAGATAGTGGAGACTTACTGAGTATACTCTCATTAATGCTTCCGATCCATCCTGAGCTTTTATTAACATGGAAGAGCAAATAGTTGAATCTGTTAAGAAGAAGTTAGTGCGCCTCCTAATATGGGGCTACATCCAATTTCCAGTTCCCACCACAACTATACAAAAGCAACAACAAATCCTCTGGCCGCAATTCGCCGTGTAAATGTAGCAAAATTTGTTCCACTTTTTCATGTAAACATTACAAAATGGACTTAAGGGGGAACAACTGTTTTGAGCTGAAAGGAGGCACTCGTCTGTGAACTAATCCCACAATCACCTTAGCCTGATCAAGCTGCCCCTTGCTCACAAGCCCCTCGAGCAACACACCAACTGTGTCCAAGTTTGGGTACCACTTCTTCCTCATACAATCCTTACACATGGTATAAGCCAAATCAAAACTCCCTGCCTTGCACAAATAGTGGATCATCGTCTGGTATATCTTTTCATTAGGTTTGTAGCCCTTACCATGCATCGCTGTATAAACCCTCTCCGCCATCTCAGGGAACCCCGCAAGGAAAAACCCTTTGATAACCATGTTATATGTTATGTTGTCCGGTTCGATCTTGAGCTTTGGCATCAACAGCAACAGATCATTCGCATCCCAAGCTCTTCTACTATTCACTAAAAACTGAATCCTAACGTTAAAGGTAGTGAGATTAGGCCTACACCCCTTGAGAACCATTAGGTTCCACAGCCCATTCCCAATCACACACCTCTCCTTCTTGTAAAACGCAGATATAAGTGTCGTATACGTGACCACGTCTGGTTTCACCCTCGAATTCTCCATCTCCCTCATTACCAAATAGGCCTCATCAAGAAGCCCCATCTCACAGGTAGATTTAATGACAATGTTGAAAGAAACTTCATCAACCTCAATCCCATACTTGGAAGGGGCTTCGTGGAGAAACGCCTGGATTGTGTGAAAATGAGGCTTCAAGCTTAAGACTTTAAGCACGGCATTGAAGGATTTAACAGTCCTCTTGCAGCCGTAGAGATCCATATTGTGGAAAGTATCAAGCGCATGCTTCGTCATTCCAGCTTTGCCATATAACATTATAATCCTAACGATGAAGCCCTCGCGCCTCCCTTGACGAAGTGTCTTCTGCTGCTCAAGCAGATCCTCGATGTAATCAAACCGACGCGCCCCAGCTAGTCTCGAGACCGTGTCTTCAAAAGCAAACCGATTTTCAATCACCAGGTTGTTTGTGGCGTTAGCTTTGAAGAGATTGAATAGCTTCTCAGGGTCTCGCTCAGATTTAAGCTTGACAAGGGCAGGCTCCTCGAGAGGTTTCAAAGCTTGAATCTGATTGGATTCAGATGGAGAATGAAAGCTCGAAGCAATACCAGAGGCTAAAGAGAAGGACGGATGACAGAATCTGCGAATGGGTCGCAGAGAGAGCATGATCCAGGGCCTCCCTCTAGCCTAAACATGCCCGTGCAGTGAACCTGATAACATGTAGCTTATCAATCTCCCCCAAATCTCCAGTCTTTTTCGCAATTTGTAAGATCTACAAACCAATCATCCCCTCAGAACTTAACCTCAAACCAAGATGCTAACGGAGATTCTAAATCTACGAAGAGAAATTCCACGAATACGGAGGTCATCCAGCTACATCAATCGAAAATACCTAAAACCCAATGCGAATCAACAGCAGCCATATTCCAAAATCCTGCCGAATTCGAATCTGAAGACACAGCCGCCGGAGAAGTGACCGGAAAAGGAGAGAAATTTCGATCTGAGGACCCCTGAGAAGGAGATTAACAGGAGGCTAACGACGGAACTGATGATTCGAGACAAACGGAGGTTTAAGGTTTTAGGTTTTGGGTTCTGTGAAAACAACTCTTTGGGCCCAAATATCTGTTTTGGGCCTACATTCTCCTTTTAACTTTAGTTTCTTGATAATTTCAGTATATGACCCTTTAATTCCATTGTATTTCAATTTACACCGAAAACTTACAATTTCATCCAAAATTTAATTAAATTAAACAATGAGAGTGAAGTCAAATGGGTTGTTGACTAAAGAAGACAGGAGGAAGGTCGGATGATGCCTTGAGCAGAGCCTTGAACAAAGTTGCAGAGAGAAGAAAGAGAATCAATGCCATTGGCAGGAGACAAGTCGATGTCTCTCATGAAAAGGTTTGAACATGATGGAAGTGCAACACTCTCCCCTGAAGAACAATCAAGCTTCATCGCCACCTTTGTCGCCGATGTTCCACTCATCTTCATGTATCTCACTCTCTCTATCTGAACCGCCTTTCCCTGACATTATTTTGTAATCAAAGTTAACACAACCAACAAAACAATTAATTTAACTTATTAGAAGAAAGATAGCTTACAGTGTGAGCGCATTGATTAGGAGCACAGCCGTAGAACTGATCAATGATAATAGGGTTCTGTACGGAGGAGAAACGGATGTCGAAGAATTCGATACCTCGGACGTAACCAGTTCCTCCAGGCCAAGTCTTGATTCGAGCTCCGTTTGTTGTCCCAGTGAAGTTAACGTGCCACACACGTATGTCTTCCACTGCTACCTCTGTTCCTCCTCTTCCTAAACTCCCAATGCTGTGTTCATGTATCACCTTCTTCTTCTTAGTTTTTCTTTTCTTTTTCGAATTTAGAGAAAGGTTTAATCATGGAGAATTTAGATTACCTCACACCGTGACCAGGTCCACAGTTGACAAAGGTAACATTCACATTATTCACTTGATCTCCGATGGACACACAATCATCACCTGTGAGGAAAACAAACAAAAACTAGCGAATCAGCTATCTTTTCTCTTGTCGACTAACTATATAACAAGTTTCATTACCAGTGGCGATATCCGAATGAGTGATAGAAACTGCGGAGGAAGATGTGATGTGGACACCGTCGGTGTTAGGGCTATCCTCCGGTGAAGTTATATTGATGTCACTCAGGTACACATTTTGGCTTCCCATCACAAGAACATGTGCTTGTGCACTATTTCTGAATCTCAAACCCTTCAATGTTACATTTCCGCAATTGCTAAATGTCATCATCTGCGCACAATTCACAGTTTCACACCCTATTTATATATACATAATTAAACAAAAGACATCCTTTCAAAGTGTTTTGAAAAATACAAAACTTACCGTTGGTGCAAGCCAGATGCAGTTCTGAAAGTATATAACATAAGAGATGAAATGTTAGAATTATCAAGATAATAAAAGTTAGAAAGATGATGACGGTGAGGATAAAGTATTACGTCTCCAGGATGGTATCGACAATGAATGTCCCACCAGGATTTGCCTTGGCCGTCCAAAGAGCCACGTCCTGCGATTACAAGTCCCTCCACTTGTTCAAATATGAGCCATGGGATTACCCCGTTCTCACCTTTTTGCCACTTGTTTGGATCACTCTCCGCTATCATCTCTCCATCGATCTATATACATGGAAAAAGTTTAGTTTATATTCATATTCATGTTAAATTTATAATATATATAAAGTGATAATTAAAGGGGTTTACAGTGAAAAGGAGAGGCTTGGGAAGGCAAGGACCGGTGAAGTGAAGAGAGTTGACAAGGAACACCTTCCCTGCTGGCACATATATACTCCCTGTTTTGGAGCTTCCATTACAAGCATTGTTCCACGCCTTTTCGAACGCCTTTTGTTTTTGTCCAGGAAACATATGTGGTTAATATAATATAAATTACAAACATATACGTGTGTATATATTGTATGTATACACCAGGCAATCACTTACAGATGTATCATCTGCAATTCCATCCCCGACCGCTCCATATTCCATCACCGATTCACCACGGCTCAACCCGGGAAGTCCTAAAATTGCAACGACTACTATCCAAACACAACCCTGCAAATCCTTACATATTAAAAGACGATTAGTTTTTTAAATCAGGTTCAACGTTACTACTTAATTAGTAGAGAGAGTGTCAAAGCGTCTTTACCATTTTTACGAAAAATGGATCGATCTAACAAGTAAGCAGTGTCGACTATTTGATTAATTTGAGATTGTCTTAAGCATATATAAAAGCACACAACTTATGGGATTGATTTGATTCAAATGCATGCACTCTGTTTGGTTTTCTTGAATTATTTAGTTACAGTATCTATTTATGAATACAAACAAGCATCCAAGTATTCTCTGTATCTATCTCATTTGTAAAGTTTCCTTTAATATATCGAACGGCATTAATCTCCCCAGTATGTGTTGGCCCCTTTTGAGTTGTAAACCCAAAATCAAATTCAATGAATTTTCTGGTTTTTTTTTGTTTGTTCAAGGTAACAATTATTTTTTTTTAAAAAAAAAAAAAAAAAAAAAAAAAAAAAAAAAGTGGGGGCATTTCTTGATGCATAAACCCCCTGTTATTCAACCAGTGATTCTTAAACGTCTTCTTAAATCCTATGTTAATTTTCTTAATAATTCAAATTTGATGTTATATTGCTCAAACGATCTGATGATATTCACTTGCTCTGTACCATGTCTTATCACATATACCACGTTTCTTGTTTAATTAGCATGAAGATCCATGATTCAAAAATCATATCATAACCCAAATTTTACATTGCATCCTATGTTAGTCTGTGTTCTCCAGAAGTCCCTGGCTCCCTGCACGCCACCAACAATCACTCTTATGTCTTAATTAAACATCAGTTGTGAATCAATATTCCAAGAAGTAACACGACTTTAATTGGTCTAACCTTCCAGACCATTTCATCAAGACACAAACAAATCTTTCCAATGTTTCATACTATAGACTAAATGTTATCTTGATATAATTTAACACTACTACTAATCTCTTGAATTGTAATGATTTAAATTCAAATCTGATATGGATTTAGAGTAAAAAAAAATTAAAAAATCATTTAAACGTAGATGCAGAGGAAGAATACATTGTTACGACTTACGAGTTAATTCTTGACTTTAAAATCAAGCAAAGTCAACAGTAACGTTTTTCCCAAAGTGGAGTTGGTAAAGAGGGTTCCGACAAACCTTCAGCTATCATCCTTGGATTGGTCGTCACTTCGACCAATTCGCATCTTTGGAGACGTCTATTGTCTCCTCTCTCCCCACTTTTAATTTACATCTTCGTTCGAGATGACCACCAAGTATATACTATACCAATCCCCTGAATTCCGAATTTGGAGCTTAGCGGTCAACATTACTAAACATTTCATTTGACTTGCGCGCGTTTTCACTTATCATTCAACTTTATTAATTAGACTTGATATTTATTTAACGTTTACGATTGACATGCAACATGCTGCCGAGTCGGCCAACGAAATTAAGGGAACATGGCTCTTTTCTCATGCAAAATGTATATGGATATGGTGTATCTTTACACATGTCCCTATATATTTATACTCTCTCTCTTTCAGAATGTATGATATTTTCGAGTTTTTACACAAATTAAGAAACATTTAATTGTTTAACAATTAATGTATCTTTCTCTTACATAAACCACTTTTTACTAAATGTTAACCAATAGAAATTTAAGAATCCAATTACTTTTAATTAATAGTCATTGAAGTTTGTAATTTGTTAGCATTAATTGATAAAAGTACCTTAAAAACTCTAAAACATCATATATTATGAAACAAGAAAAAAAACTAAAATATCATACATTCTGAAACGGAAGGAGTATCTATTTATGTACCAATTAAAGCATTCCAATCACATGTGCATATGCTAGTGTGTTTTGATGTAAAGTGAATAGATATACTCCATATATCCAAACAGTATATATATTTCATATTAGGTTTAGGAGATATGGGGATTGTTTAAATACATTGGTCAGTTAGTCTAAGAAACACAAGTGAATTATATCGATTCATACACTTATCAGTGAGAAAGATATGATCCGGTCAAGAAAAGATAAACGATATGGTTTTGGAGCTGCATTTTTCATTGTCAACATCTTCTTTTCTCTCCTATCTCTACACTGCATATCTGGTATATATATCAAATCCCTGAATTATGTATTTCTTGGTCCCTCATCTTTTTTTTTTTTTTTTTTTCTAAGAGAGTTTAACTTGTTTATTAATTGATTCCCCTCTGATTTATATATGTGCAGGGCATCAACTAGAAAGGAAGCAATCCGTTCTGGGTTCAGAGCCTCCCTTGTGTGCGAACAAGTGCCTGAATTGCAAACCTTGCCTTGCTTACCTATTTGACATTCATGGTGCTCATGACGATGATGATGATAATAGCGAACCATACTATCCGGTAAGGTGGATGTGCAGATGTCGAGACAAACTATTTGAACTTCAAGAATAGTATCTATATATATATTATGATGTCTTCTTTAATGCATGTGTTGCTTCTCATGGACGTTCACGATGATCGATCATGCATGTATTGGTGGTATCATGCATGCATGCTGATGGTTATTTTCCGGGTTTATACAGTCTTGTAATATGTAAACAGTTACTCGTCTTTTCGCATGTGTTCGTTTTCGTTGATAGTGATATGATGTGTCTGAAGAGAAGGAAAAAAAGATGTGATGATGTGTTTGTCGGTATTTATCTGTATCATGCATGCATGTTGTACGTCGCACCATTCATATGCGTGATCATTTTAGGCCCCAATTGTAATGGGCCTACAAAGAGCAGCCGTAGTAAAAAGGAAAAAAGGCTCAGAATTTTAAAGTATCTCTCTCGTCTCATCTCATCATTCACCGCTCTTGCCGTATGACGTCTTCATTCTTGAGCTAAAGTCTAAAACGTGTCGCTCATTGTCTCGATTGAGATTACACTGTAGCTGACGGTTACATTTAGAGTTTGTTTCCATCTCAAGCTTCACCCAGCACCGTCAGTTTTCTGAAGAAACTTTGTACTGATGAGGAAAAGGGTGAAAGGTGGGTCCCACTTTTGCCCATGTGGTTATGGTCAACGTGTCAAAGCATCAAAGGCCAAGTGTTTTTGCCATCTTTTTAACTGTCAATCTGTGGCCCCGTAGAATAATTTCATACTATTTTTCTCTTGGCTGGTGTCAACTTAGGCCAAAAATATACACTTATCTTTTACAATAGCCTCACTTGAATTATATAAAGAATCTAGCAGACTGCTCATATTTCAACATTGTCAAAGATATATATTGAAGAGTTGTTTTAGTTTAATGGAGTTTTTAATATAAAATATCTTGCGATTAACCGAGAGTAACCATCATGTTATTGAGAAGCACGTCTGCTCCGATACTGAGCTCTTGGCTCCCACAACACTGCTCGAGAGAATCCCCACCGGAGCCGGAGTCACGGCTCAAGCGCCGAAACAGATCCTTGTATCTTCTCTCTTCCAAGTCCACAGATGGTGAACACACTCTCCCTGATCACAAGGAGAGTACTGTTCTAAAATCAAGAAACAGCGACAACGACAACAAAAACGTAATATCACGCAGGCAACGCAGGTCATCTTTAGATGAAAGTGTTCTTATAAAATCAAGAAGCAGCGACAACGACAACAAAAACGTAATACCACGCAGGCAACGCAGGTCATCTTTAGATGAAAGTTCTCGTGGAACAGCCTACAGGAGAAAGGTTTTAGATCCGTCGCCGACTTTTTTATTGGAGAGGCTCTTCTCAAGCTCTGGACTGGGAGAAAAGAAAAGTGATGATGATGATCGTCTGGAGACTCTTGTGAGTGGTGGTGGTGTCGGGATGGGAAGCAGCGGCGGTGGTGGTGGCCACCATGGTGGAAGCGATGTTGACGGCGGTGGAAGTGAGGAAGCCACCGATGCGTATTACCGAGAAATGATCGAATCCAATTCTGGAAACTCTCTTTTGACCGGAAACTACGCCAAGTTCTTGAAAGAGGTAATAAGTTGCAAGATTTGGTAAAGAAAATAAATAAATAATAATATTAATTTTTATAATTGGATATTTTAGTACAAGATATTTTAGTGAAAGATCCATCAACGTGTAAAGTTTGTATTGCATGGATCTTTGTGACTTATGATGGTTTCGAGAACATGTTTAATTTTCAGGAAAAGAGAGGAGATATAATATTTGTGATGGAAAATGTTTTTTATATGTAATATGAGCAGGTGAGAGGAGACATGAAGAAAGCAGAGGAGTATTGTGAAAGAGCAATTTTGGGGAACACCAACGATGGAAACGTTCTGTCACTATACGCCGATCTCATTTTGCAAAACCACGGAGATCGTAAAAGAGCCCACTCCTATTTCCAACAGGCTACCAAAATGTCCCCAGAAGATTGGTAAGTTTTGCAAGATTTTAACATATTCCCACAATTTTTAATTTTTAATTAAGAACAAAGGCACAATATATTGGAATTACTGATGGTGCAGCTATGTGCAAGCTTCATACGCAAAGTTTCTGTGGGAAGTGGACGAGGACGAAGATGAAGGAGAAGAAGAAGAGCAGAGGAATGGTGAAATTGGCGATATGCCTCCAACTACCACCTTCCGTGATTTTCCCCAACACACTCCTATTACCTCACCATCTTAAATGACACCTGTACTCACTACAAAAAAAAGTGTGTATTGTATCATTTAATTTGTATCACAAAACTGAGTGATACTGTTTTACATCACTTATAAACAAATGAAACAAATATACTTAGTTTAGTATCAATTATAATAATTGATGTTATAATTAATTAGTTTGGCATCATTTCAGACAAATTGATTCAATTTTAGATAGTTTGTATCACTTAAAACAAAACTGATACTAAAATCTAATTTACGTCAGTTAGATGATCGATGTAATTAGTATTATATGTTAACATCACTTATAAAAATGATCTTAACTTTATATCAATTTAAAATGATGCTAATTAAAACTATCCTAATAAACTTAAAAAAAATTACGTGAGTTATTTAGGTCAGACCCATTAATTTGTCTTAAGTTAATTAAAAATTTATGATTTGGAATTACAATTATATTAAGTGTTTAAAAAGTAAAATATATATTTAAAATATTCATGAACTTCCATAAAAGTACATAATATTTTACTCTGGATTATATGTGAAATGTAAAATGGTTTCAGTTGGGCATATAGTCGGCCCAAACAATTGTGATAATGAAATTGTCAATGTGAGTAATGAATTTTTTAATTAGTTTTGAGAAAAAGAACTGGACCTTTCCTCTCAGCCGCCGTTTAATCCTTTGACATATGAAGCTCTCTTTCCACCGTTTTCAGCTCGTAAGATCTATCTGATTGAATCAACTAATTTGAATTTCAATATAACAAATCCATCTTCTTTCTTCCTCGATGGTTTGGTTTTTAAACATCTACAATCTTAAATTTTTAATTGAAACTTTTCGGAATCGGTCTATCTTCGTTTCAGCTCCTGATAAATTATTAAAGTTCTTGGCCGCAACGCAACGGAGGCGTTGATCTCACCGGTTGAACAATACAAACCACGGATTGTGTAAGCTTTTCATCTCATTTATAGATCAGTTTATACTTGCCTCTGGTTCAATTTTTTTATTCTAGTAATGAAGATTAATTGGTACAATTTTCGTTTTCATATAAGAAGTATGATCTTGTTTTAAGGAAATTTTGCATATAACCTGATGGATTATTGAATCTCACATCCAATTTGTTTTCTGGTTATGTTTAAATGAATGTAGTAGCTAAATAATTGGGCATACCCTCTTCGCGTTTAAAACTCTTATCTACTTATTTTTGTAAGGAGCAATTGGTAGAAGCAAACAACATGTTGTCTTGTTGGTTACATTCATCGGATCCAATAAGCTTCATTATCGGACCCTAGCTTAATTAGTTAATTATTACGCCAACACAACACCTCTAAATTAAATTAGCTATATCTGATTCTTCTATTACTTACGATCTTCTTTTTCTTTTCAATCATTTTTTTTTTTCGTTATCAAATTCTTCAAGTGGAAAAGGGGAAGATTTAGCTTCACTCCATCCATCCAAATCCATAAACTCTTTACGTTTAATGCCATCTTCATCATCTTTCTTTTCCAGATTTCTTTGGAGGAACAGTTTCAGAGACACCGAGAAACCAAAATTTGTATACAATTAGGTAACCTGTTAATACTCAATTGTTTTGATATGTGTGATTTTATTTACTCTGGAGTTTAATGATTGATACTGAAATCAAAACCTTAAACATAGAGGGTAAAGTGTTCATTATTATAAATTAAAGCCATGCTATATATTATCATTGTTTATCTTATTAAACAATTTAAAAACCACAGCTCTACTATCAAGCATTGAGAATTATGGGAATAAAATCCAAATTCAAGGTAGAATGTGGAGACATCTAATGAGTAAACAGATACATTAGAATGATATTGATTTGAACTTTTCAAGGTTTTGAACGTAATGGTTGTTTTCTGAATTTCTAAAACTTACTGCATTTTCTTTTTTTAGGTTCTCATGGATAAGTCATGGATAAACAAACCACATTTATCTCAAGATTACAAATTAGGAGTGAAAAGCTTCTTGGATTTTGCATTTGGCAAATCAACTGCACTGGTGATGAAATGTCTATGTAACCGTTGTTCTCTGGTCAAATCTAAGTCAAGAGAAGATGTCGAAGGTGATTTAATGTGCTTTGTTTTTTTAAATACTTACACAAGTTGGTACCTACATGGAGAGGATGTATGTGTCACAGAGACTGCTCAAGTGCCTTCTGATATTGCTCAAGTTGAATCGGATTCAACTGTGAATCTCTTGGATGATCTTTTTCCTAATAGTGATACGAATATGCATGGTGGTGATGAACCTGGATCGTTTGAGCATACTATGGGTACTGATAGGCCATCAACTTCAAGTGGAAATTGTGGAAAAGGGGAAGATTTTGATGAGCTGTTTGCTGATTTCAATCAAGAGCTATATACAGGATGCACTAAGTTCACGAAGTTGTCCTTTCTATTGAAGCTATACCATATCAAATGCATGTGCGGGATTAGTGATAAGGGGATATCCATGGTGCTTGATTTGCTGAAAGAAGCATTTACACATGCCAAACTGCCAGACTCCTTTAATGGCATGAAAAAGGTTATTCGCAAATTAGGATTGAACTATAAGTCAATCCATGCATGTCCGAATGATTGCATGTTATATTGGGAGGGAGATGCAGAAAGGGAGGATTGCAAAGTTTGTGAAGCTTCTCGCTGGAAAGTTTCTGAAAAGAGTACAGTCTCTGGATCAGAAAATATAACAAAGAAAGCTCCTGCAAAAGTTTTGCGTTATTTTCCTCTAAAACCACGGCTGCAACGTTTATTCATGTCATCAAAGACTGCTAACACATGACATGGCATGCGACTGCTAGTAACAGTGATGGTAAGCTTCGACATCCAAGAGACGGATTGGCTTGGAAGGCATTCGATCAAAAATATCCTGAATTTGCATCTGATCCGAGAAATGTCAGACTAGGCTTGGCGACTGATGGTTTTAACCCGTTTGGTACAATGAGTAGTAGTCACAGCATATGGCCAGTTATACTATTTCCTTATAATTTTCCACCTTGGATGTCTATGAAGCAGACATCAATGATCCTGTCTATGGTTATCCCTGGAAAGCACATGCCTGGGAATGATATAGATGTCTACTTGCAACCACTTATCAAAGAGTTGAAGGAGTTATGGTCTGATGGGATTGAAACACTAGATTCCTCCACAAAACAAAGGTTTAACATGCGAGCAGCGATCTTGTGGACAGTTAGTGATTTTCCGGGTCTTGGAAATTTGTCTGGGTGGAATACGTATACGACATTAGCTTGTCCAAGCTGCAATTATGAAGGCATCGGACAACGTTTACGCCATGGGAGAAAAAACTGTTTTATTGGCCATCGTCGTTTTCTCCCTCAAGATCATGACTTTCGTCAAAATGAAACAAATTTTGATGGAAAAATAGAAACCAGAGCTCCACTAGGTACGATTTTAGGTTCTACAATTATTCATCAGCTAGAACAAGTTAATGTTAGACTTGGTAAGAAACCTCGTGTATTTGGAGTGGGAAAAAAAAAGGCTCGAAGTGTTGGTGAAAGTTCTGGTACTCTACAATGAAAAAAAAAGAATAAATTTTTTGAGTTGCCTTATTGGGAATTTAATATGTTGCGCCATAATCTGGATGTAATGCATATAGAGAAAAATGTGTTTGACAATCTAGTTTACACATTATTGGATGACAAAGACAAATCGAAGGATAATCTGAATGCTAGAAAAGATCTATGTGAGTTGGGTATTGATAGTAGGATTTTTGCTATCAATTACTCAAGCCTACTACTCATGTCATTGTAGCATTTGAGGTATCAATCCATAGGGGTTAAGATTAAGACAATAGGAAAGCAAGAAACAATCTAATCCAAGCCAAATCAAAGAGGGGTTTTTATCTAGCAACCTAAATGAGAATCAAACATAAAACTTAAAGCAATAACATAAAACAAGAAGCCAAACTCAAGAGACAAATACAAAAACGAAATGGGTCTTGGGATGGGGTCATTGAACTAGAGAGACTCTTTGACTAATCTATGATGCTCAAACAATCAAGTGAAAGCTAATCCTTAGGCATAGAACTCTTAAACAAGACTAATCCATTCTCATGACATTAATCACTTTGCTAATTACAAACTTCAAGACTAATCATCATTAGTGAAATTCGAATTTAGCAAGCATTATAAACAAGTTCTATCAAGCCAATAAACATCTTAAACAATCATTCTCATGAGTTAAGAATATAAATCTCTTGATTTAGTTGGTTGAGACATTTCATCAAACACCTTGTGGGTATGAAATGCCCTTTGATCTAAATCACTTTTCTCAAAGCTAATCTAGCATTAGGATCACTAAATCAAGAAAGGATATTAGCAATCTAAGCCTAAGCATCAAAATTCAATCATTGAATCTCTCTAAATCTTACCCATCCCTAAACCCTAAAATATCTACTCACTAATCATGCTTAAATCAACAAACCCAAGAAGAGGGAGGTTGATAAACATGATTAGCAAGTTGAGAGAAGAAAGATTAATGAAAGAAATCTCTTAAATTCAATAATCTCTTCAAAAGATCTTGCAAAATGTTTTAAAAGGTTTTTGTCTAAGAACAATAAATTACAAGATAGAGGCTGCCTAAAAAATTAGGTCTTCATGGTTTATATAGTAAGTGAGAGGAAGGAGTCTTGGTCAACGTTTTTAGCCTTGACTTCGCAGCTGCACGTGTCTTGAGCAAACTCCTCAAGTGTGCACGTGTCTTGAGCAAACTCCTCAAGTGCTCTGTTTTTCGTGCTCAAGACTCTGTTCCGCCAAATTCCTCAAGACGCCTTTGAACTCTGATTAACCTCCGACTTGTCTCCAGTCATCATCCCCTTCTGCTCCCATCAGCTTCTAGCTCCAATCTCCTGATAAATACACTCTAAATGCAATGGAAATGCAAAGTGCTATTCAAAAAGCTAAATGTCCCTTACAATATGAATCCTACACTAAATGCTATGAAATGAGACTCAAAGATATACAAAGCTATGCAGAATATGATGCTAAATGCATGCAAATATTGAGTACATCAGGTATACGTTCTGAATTGTGGCCTGTTGATAATGAGAAGTATCAAGCAGCATGTTTTACTCTGAACAAGGAAGGCACAGACATCTTCTTAAGTGTCTTAAAGAATGTAAGACTCCCTGATGGTTATGCTTCAAACCTATCAAGTTGTGTTGATGTGTGTAGTGGAAAGCTATCAGGCTTGAAAAGCCACGACTGTCACGTGATAATGAGAGATTTATTCTCAGTTGCTATTCGGAATCTGCTGCCGGAAAATGTGAGATCAACCATTATCGAGCTTTGTCAATTTTTTAGAAATATATCTGCCAAGGTCCTTGATATCGATGAGCTTGATAAATTACAAGACCGTGTTGTCTTGATTTTATGTCGCATGGAGATGTTTTTTCCTCCGTCATTTTTTACGGTGATGGTACATTTGATCGTACATCTCACAGAAGAGGCAAAGTATGGAGGGCCAGTTCCATTTCGTTGGATGTATCCCATTGAGAGGTGATTTTTGTTTCTTTTTATTCCTACTATATACACAACAACAACTTGATATTTACATAATTCATTATATGCAGGACTCTAGGACACATCAAGTCATATGTTCGGAATCGCGTTAAGCCTGAGGGTTATATATGTGAGCAATAAGACCAAACTCTGAACTTTTACGTATTTTCCTCAATGTATCTCGATGATATAGAGACAAGATTTACTCGGGTTGGCCGCGTTGATGATCGACCTGCAGCTGAAACTAGCATAAGACCAAACTCTGAACTTTTACGTATTTTCCCAAACATCGGAAGATTTGTTGGAGCAGGTCGGGTATATAATCTTAATTATCTAGAGAGACAACAAGCTCATCATCATATATTGGTCAACTGTCAACTACTTGATCCATTACGAGAGTGAGTTTCTCTCAATCAAGAACAACTTGTTTTAATTAGCTTTGATTGATATTTTTGCTAATTTATATACTTTGCTAATTAATGTTTGTGTAGGAAGTACAAAAATGAGCTATGGATGCAGAACTCTCAGCTAAACAGAAGGAATCGTGCTATAGACATTGATCGAGAAATGCATCTTAATTTTGCAAAATGGATCAAACAGAAAGTAGAGATGAATGAGATAGACGGGATTACTGATGATTTGCGATGCTTAGCTCTTGGTCCATCAGAACAAGTTGTGAAGTATACAGCTTACAATGTCAATGGTTTCAAATTCCGGACAACAGAAAGAGATTCTGGCCTGAAAACACAAAATAATGGTGTTTATGTGGCTGCTGAGACTATGAGCTATGCTAGTTCTCGTGATCCTAATCCTAGAGCAGGTATTGTACCTTACTATGGAAATCTGGTCGAAGTTATGGAGTTAAATTACTATGAGGTTTTCAAAGTGGTATTATTCAAGTGTAAGTGGGCTAACACTTGTACGGATCGAGGATATAAAACAGATGCATATGGACATCGTATGGTAAATTTTTCTCGCTTGTTGCACACTGGTGATAATGAAGAGGATGAGCCATATGTATTAACTTCTCAGGCCAGAATGGTATATTATATTGATGATCCTTGCATTGTAGAATGGAAGATCGCTGTTCACATTCAGCCTAAGGATGTTTATGACATGGGAGATCCAAATGATTCAGAATAAACTGATGGTGAATCCGATCCTGGCATCTATATATGTTGCTTCCTATGAAAATGTTTAGTGTCTTCGTATGTGGGTGTCAGTTTTCTTTCCACAGAATCATAATCTCTGCTTATCTTTATTTGTTTAAACAAATTTGAACGTGTAGTCTAAGTTTGGAATTGTTTTATGTGGTTGCTGGTTTACTTTATTTTTTTTGTTTATCATGTGACTATGTTCTTGGAATTGCTTACTGTTTTTTTTTTAAACTTAGAAAACCTGCAACTTTGAGATCTTGTTGTTGGTTCACTGTTTGTTCTTAGTATGTACTGAAAAGTAAAATGAGCACAATGTTTGATCAAACCTACAGTTAAGAACTCTGAAACTTTCGATAATGTGTTGGTGAGTACTATGTTGGTGATAATGACTCATGCATTGTGCCAGCCATTAAGATCCAATTCCTTGTTTCTTTTCTAATCATAGGGTTGCCTCTGGGTATCTGTTCTTACACTAAGACTCCTTCTTGATGACTGTTTGAGCTTCAGGGTCAGGGTTTGCCTCGTAGTATTCTAAGTAGTATTAGTAGGAACCATATTCAGAGTAGGACTCCTATTTAAAGTAGGACTCATATTTAAAATATGATTCAGTTCACAATAATAATCAAATCCATTTACAACGTTAAACTTGAAAAAAATTGAAAACATCACTCACTCACAAACTAGTCTAAAGTCTTTGTCTTTGCACTAACTTACAAAAATCAGCAACGTGTAAAAGAAGAGAAGAAAGAAACTGATAAGCTTTTGCCTCCGGTGAGTACCTAATTAAATCCCAATCCTCCTTTCTCTTTGATATGACTTATATATAGGTTTTCGATGGTTAATTGGTTTTCCCTTTTTATTTAATACTTACAAAATAGAAAAATACTACATATATTGAATAAACCATTATGTGGCAGATAAAATAAATCCTACTAATATATATTTTTCAGATCCCACTAAATCTTGTTCTGCAGCGGGAAATAGTTTAATATTAAGAAACGGTTATTTTCACCTCTAATAAATTGACTACATGGATTTAATTAGGTCTCTAAACAACTTTCTCTGGGAAACCGTCGACGATCGAGCTCAAAAATTGGAATTCACATCTCGCACAACTGATCAGGTAATTTAACTCATCTATACCTTAACTGATCAAGTCTAAAGCAGGTTTTGTGGATCTTAGAAAGTTTTAGATTCTTTACCTTTCATTTAACTTTGAGAATCTATGTGTAAAGCGGGTTTTCTGAATCTCACAAACTTAACTCGATCTCTAAAGTTCAGAAGGAATATATGAAAACGTATAGATTCTGAAATCGAGTTCTATAAATACATTTCTATTGTGCTGCAATTTGAAGAGAAAGGTTAATGTTACTGTAATGAAGAAACATGTAATGCGTAATATTAAGTCAAATTGAGGTTGATAGTAAGATTTGAAGAGCCTAGATATTTAATGTCACTAAAAATGTTTTTGTCGTCTTGTATGCACATGTGGATGTTGGTTTTCTTTTTACATAATCGTAGTCACTATCTTTATTTGTTTGATCGTATAGTCTAAGTTTGAAATTGTTTTATGTGGCTGCTAGTTTTGTTTATTCGTCTGCATATGTATTAGCAACTGGCTAGCTTTTGGAATTGGTTACTGTTTTATTTTTTAGAACTTAGAAAATTTGGGGCGTTTTAGTTAACATGAAAACCTACAACTTTAGTTCTAGGCTTGACAGTGTGTGTGATTAATGATTGCTTTTTTTTTGTTTACCATGATTAGAGTCATGGATTTCCTAGATACAGAGACACAATCACCTGAGGATTCACTGAATTGGGAAACAGATTTCGATACCCCTCCTCCACTTGCTCCTCAATGAAAAAGTTTCAAATGGAAAATTAATGTCATAGGTAATATATACGAAGTTGGTTTCATTCAAGTTATTAGAAATTTATTATAATTCGAATTTGTTCTAACATATTTGCTCATCAACAAGATACTGATGGAAACATAGAAGGTAAAATGGTAACATCTAAAGATGTCTGGAAACTGCAAAATAGCAAAGTGATTGTGCATTTCGATGAAGATAGTGGCCAGCCAATTGGAGATTCTGCAGGCTTACTTGGATCATGGTTAGGTCAGTTAAGCAATGACGTGAACTTAATACCCATCAACTACAGTGATTGGAGGTCGGTTAGTCCTCACATAAAAGAAAGGGCATGGGAAGTTGTTCAGGTAACATCTATCATCGATTTATCACTATATTTAAGCAATGACCTTAACTTAAGACAGCATATTGACCACTCGTTGTATATGTTGTTATTTCAGTCCAAATTTCGGTTCGATGATCCGATGGTGAGAAAAGAATATGTCATCAGTACACTAGGCAGCAGATGCAAGGATGTCAAACGACGTCTTTGGGGAGAGTACAGCAAAGATACTCGTAGTGAAACAGTGCAGAATCGACCAGATAATGTTCCTGAAGATCAGTGGTTTCATTTTGTTCACATGAGATTCACTGAAAAGTGGAAGGTATAGTTTACTCGTTGGATACTTATCTGTAGATGTATGTCTCTGTATCAAATGCCAATTTCTTTTTTTAATATGTGAATTTTCAGAAAATGTAAGAGCGGAATACGATCAACCAAAAATACAATACCATGCCTCACTTATGCGGAAGAAAGAGTTTTCCGAGGAGAAGAAATGAGATTGTGAGTACCTTAATTGTGATATAAAACTAGTCTATTATATATGCTGATTCAATTATACTGATATTGTATATTGTTTATGCATGTTTTTTAATGAAGAAAATCAAGACCGGAAAAACACCATGTCGAGCTGCGTTTTTCATTGAGACTCGTACAAAACCTGATGGAAGTTTTTCCTGTGAGGAGGCCAAAACACGAGCGGTCAGTTTTTTTTATAATCACAATTGGTTGACTATAGTTTTGAATTATGTTGGATACTTATATTTTGTTTTATATTTTGTTGGTTTTCTTTAGGAAGAACTTACCATGGTAATGAGTCAAAACCCACGACCCACAACCAATGTTTCAGCTAGCTTGGATGATGAATATGCTCAAGTGTTTGGTCCTGAGCGTCATGGACGAGTACGTTGTGTAGGTCGTGGACCTACACCTTCAAAGTTGGTGAGACGCTCTACTGTAACTAGGACAGAGATAGAAAATTCTGAAATAGTTGTTCAGCTGAAGACAGAATTGGATGGCTTAAGAAATGAAGTTAAGGGAATGACTACGTTCATCCAACAATTAATTGGTACATCAACCGTTGAACAGGTAATTTACTGAATATCTTCTAAGTAAATTTTTCTTATTGTAACTGATGAGTCTAAGATTAATATGTTAAACTATATAGGCAACTGCATTGGCTAGAGCTTTTGCAAACATACCAAATCCACGTCCCACTAACATACCGAATGTGACTACTCCACTGGTAAATAGTAGTACATAGCATATTGATAAACTGAATGTTGTTTATATGATATTTTCCAGGGAACCAATGATGCAGCAAATGGAAATTCCACTATTTAGGAGTTGGAATGTTTAGGAGTTGAAATTGTGTTATATATTCATGTTCAGCATTTCTTTAGCAAAACTTCTTATTTACTTTGGTTTATTTATGAATTTATGTAATTTACTTTCTAATACATTAATTAGTAATTTATTTGTGGTTATTAGTTACTGTTTAATTAATTATTTTGTTTAAAATCGTTTTCTAATATATTTTTAAAATAAATATGCTAAATTGACGTGTATAAAACTGAAGACGATTTGATTTTTAAAAAAATATTCTCATCAGTTTATAAAAGTGACACAATTACTAGTAATAATTGAAATCGGTTAATAACTGAAACAAAATTTACATCAATTATGTAGAAATGATAGTAATAATTAAATCGGTTTTTATAAATGATACAACTATTAACATCACTAATAACAAGTGATGCTAATTTTAACATCAGTTATTTATAACTGATATAAGTAATTAGAATCAGTTACTTTAACCGATACCAATAATAGAATCACTTTGAAAAATGATGCAACATTTAACATCATTTTTTTGCAACTGATACATAACATCAATTGAAAAAACTGATGCAAATATTATATATTTTTATATCAGTTCTTAATAAATTGATGTGAATTATTTGCATCATAGAAAATGAAGTCGCTCGTATAAGTGATGTAAATTGTTTTTACATCATTTATAACTGATACAAATAAAGAAAATAAATGATTTAACATACCTTTTTTTTGTAGTGACTGTACACCTTCCTATGTATTAGTATTGAAATAATATGTAGAAAATGAATGTTTTATACACATATGAAAATGCAAGATGCGTGTATAATACTACACGTCAAGAATGTTTTATATGTTTCGGAGAGTGTGGACTATTATATATGAAACAACGCCACTGTAGCCAAGTCAACCACAGTATATATATTTTGGAATACTCTCGTTCGTAGTTGTGCTATCAAACCTTTGTGCCTAAAGTCAGAATTGTTGCTGGTATGTGATTAAGATATCACCAAATATCTACTGGACTAATACAGGGCCTAAATTTAGATTTTGTTTAGACCATTCCAATTTCAACGAGACAAGATGATGATTCTAGAACTACTAGTTTTATAATTTATAGGAGAGTGGGCACAAAGCATATTCGCCGCAGAGAGTCATGTTCCGGACTAGTGAACACTGATCCAAATGCCAGATCAAAACACATCATCTGTATGAATCAATAATTGAGATTCCTTATTCGTATTTCGTTTAAGAAATTCACTTTCTGTCAACATTTCCCTTTTACTTATTTACTCCAAAGATTCTAGGAAATACTGGTCTAGTAAGCTTCACATTGTTTTATTCAGATAGATTAATTTCCTTTGTTAATAGTTTCTGTTACAATTGAGAGGAGTTACTATTGCATCAAAATCCATGTGGCACAATATCATAAATCTCCCATACATTTGGAGTAATATAGTTGAACCGTCCTATGGCCTATGTCTACGGAGAGAGAAAATAGATGGGACACCTTTTATGTGTAAAAAGCTTCATATATGTTGACTAAAGTAAATTGAAAACTCGTTGGAGATATACAAATTGTAACTTTTTGCCTAACTCACCAACAAAAGCAACAAAATAACTCTTTGCTAAAAGTATGAACCCTTTTTTCTCCATATTAAACAACTGTATTTGAGTAAATTCAAATCAAATCACAGCAAGGGGCCAAGGGGGCAGACGAGAAAATATTAGTCCAAATCGTTCCTTTTCAAACCGACAAAAGCTCACAACTAGATGAATAATTATTATTTCCACTCGGTTTGGTTTCCCACCCAAAAAAAAAGAAGACGACGAAATCACTGATCTTCTGCGGAAGGGTGCACCTGTTCTTCACCAACCTCAACGAGATCGTCGCCGTAGATCTGATCAAGCACAAGCACCAATCCCATGGCAAAGGCTCCATCAAACCCGGGCTTCACGTTCAACGAGAAGACGTCTTTCCCAAGCATCACGTTCGTTGACGCATCCACTTTGCGCCGTATCTCCGCCACCTTCCTCCTCGTCTCCGCCTCCACCACCGTGCAGCTCCTTTGCCCGAAATTACCCTCGACCAGGTACTCGCCGCACTCGTACTCCCCGTACACCTCCACCGTCACGCTGTTCCTCCCGATTATCGACGATCTCCTCACTCCGAATATCGGTTTCTGACCGTCCGATCTCTCCCCGAGATACCCTTCCCATCTCCGTCGCAAACTCGGTCTCTGTTTGAAGAAATGAGAGAAAATAAAAACAGAGTTAGTTTCAACTGTGACCGAGTTGACTCAGTGATTCAAATCCATAAAGGGACGCTTTTTTCAGACAAACATTCCAACAAAAAAATGAAAAGAGAAAGGAGGTACCTTTCGTCGGAGGGTGAGGAGGCAACGACCGTGAGCGTCCATGAGGACAAGCTCGTCGGTGTCGCGGTTGTTGGGACCACCGTAAGAGTCGACTCGAAAGACCAAAGTGCCCTTGCAATCGTAAGCCGTGAAACCATCGCCGGCGAAAAAGAGAGAGGTTTTCCGAACGGTCAGGTTCTTCTCTTCTCCGTGTATAAAGTCATCGTCCACAAGCAAAGCCCCCTTCATTTCCGATTGCAATTCGAGAAAATCGATTTCTGATTCTGGGTTAGTTGCTGGGATGATGCTTGTAAGCTTCTAAGATTAGAAGAAGGCTACGCGTTTACTTATTGGAGAGAATGGGGAGAGAGAAGTGAAGGTTGGAGAAATGGAAGACAACGAGTGCAAGATTTATAAGGGCGAAAACGACATGGAGAGATTGGAGAGTATCGAATATTTACAGTTTAAGCAAATGCTAAATTGCCACGTGGCGCTGACTAGTCGCTTGAACCTTGTAAAGTAAAGTAGATTCGCTTGCAACGCTTCACTTCGCCCTTGCTTTTTTAATCCGTCACTTTACGTCTTTACCGTTATTGGCATGTCATTAACTCATTATGTCAATGTACGATCGCGTATTTTCATGTTAGATTACACACAATTATAGTCTATAGACCTTTTTAAGAAAGATAACAGATGATGATGAATTCGTATTTGAGTTATCGCACGAAGCAACTTTGTAATTTATTACTACAGATAAAAAAAGTACGTAGGCATAGTCCCATAGCTGATGTTTGGCGGATATCAAAAGTTCAAAACTATAGCGTAATAGGTCCATTGTGATTAAAATGCCAACCTGAGTCTAATCGTCTGTTTTTCAGTATTATTAGAGATCTCGAATTTTTTGTTTTTGTTTAGTTATTAGTTAATATATGTATAATGTATTCGTGGTACTTTCCAAGATTCTCGTATGACGCTCTTCGGCAACACGTAACCTCACATTACTTCTTCCTTTCCAAGCACTGTTTCTCCTTCTCTCCTTTTCCTGGTTCTAACAATATTCCAATCATATATTATAACACGATTTTACTAGTGTGTAGAAAGGGTACTAACACTACAGATCAAAAGTGTACTTTTGTTTCTATATTTAGTATTTTTAAAATAAAGCATCTTAGTGTGTGGAAAGCTATAAATTATTGATTCCCCTTTATAATTAGTTAACTTATAACATTTTAACATTAGAATAAATAAGTAGTTAGCCAAGTGTTGGTGGATTTGAAAAGAATGGAGTCATGGAACGCATCTCAACTTTTACAAGTGAACGGTTACAGCCTTACAAAATCATCTCAGATCTAGTCGTTGATATTTTGATATTTTTATACCTTCTATATCAGTTTGTTTCATTATAAAATATGAACCTTACATATACCAATCAAGGTCCATGGCCAGCTAGCTAGTCAATAGTATAGTACTAAACTTCTTAAAATATTGGTCCTGAAACGGAAACGAAATAAAATCGTGTAAAATGTGGGTATTCCAATCCCACGACCCAAACAACTATATATAAGTATATAACAACACACATACTTGTGTATATATTTATATTAATAATATGATTTCATATATAGATAGACCTATCAAGTGGCCCGCATGGGGAATAAAGATTCCCACTACATATTATTGAAGATAAGAACATAGCATAATCCTAACGATCTCATTAAATATTACACACTAGCCCCTTTTTTGTTTGGTATGACAATGATCTACTGAAACTGTTTGATCATTTGACCTGATCAGCAATTGTATATTAGCTCCTTTTGTGAGAAAGGGCATTCCCTTAACGTTATCAGGTTTCTTCAATTTGGTATTTCCTGAAAGACGCAAGGAAATTAGTTAACCTCCCTCCCACCTGATTGGTTTCTTTATCCCTACATCTGCTTGAACATTTGTAGTTTGTACGGCGAGAAACCATCTAATCTTCTTTCAGAGTGTCTCAGCGCAAGAAATCAAGAATTACTACCACAGGACAGCTCTTTCTTGTGGATGCATATCTTTTGCTTCATCCTTTCACTTGATTTTATTTAGTTTTACTCCTCAGAACAAAAAAGGAGAGAAAGAAAGTAGCAGTGATCCAATTGCTACATGAATTTAATGTTAGATAACAAAAAGAGAATGGGATATTTTCTTGATATTTTGGTTGTTAAGCAAAGGATATTTGGCTGAAATATCTGAATTAGGTCAAAAGTGCACCTGAATTTCGGATTCAGGATTGTTTCAAAATATCTAATTCATTGGGTCTGACTAACAACAAATGAGGAAAAAAGAGACGTGAACACAACGAACACGTTGATATGGTGGGTCTCTAATTAATCTCCAGACTCCAGCAGCACTATGAGATATTTATTGCGTTTGCATGTGCGCTCAACTTTATCAATTTAGATCCGTGTATCATCGGTAGTCAGTACTAATCACAAGTGTGCCTAATGAAAGTATGAAACTATATACCCCCAAAACAGGATAATGGTTTTCAGTTTAAAGAACTGAATGTATACTAAATTCACTCGAATTTTATGGTTCCTATAAATATATATTAATTACATTATTTCCAGTAGAGTACTATCGTATTTTGTTTGGTGTGCTCTCACATTTTTTTTTTTTTTTTTTTTTTTGTCTTCTCTTCAAATTAAGCATTCCATTTACTAAAATTTTTGTATGGTGGTCTCTGTAATAACTTGTAACTAACTTGTTGCAACCCAAGACAAAATACAAAGATAGATTAGTAGTCATAAGCTTCACAGTAGTAGTAGTGTATACTTTTACAACAAAGCAACCAACAAACTTAAAATTTCTTAAGAAAAACTTTATATATAAAGAAGAAGAAGAAGAAGAAGAAGAAGAAGGAAGGCAGGGAAAGAGAAGATAACAAGACAAGATCGAGGGATCAGGAGAGATTTAGTTAAGGGTGTGGCCTAATTTCGATTCCATGAACGATGAGGCCTTTCTTCTCAAAAGGCCTCTTAGTCTCCTTGAGGCTCATCTCTATCTGACCCATATCTCCTCTCCTCTTGAAGAACTGCCCCAACTCAACCTCGTACCAACCGTCACTTCTCAGCTCAGCGGAGTGACCTTGTTCGCTGCCCGGATTCTGCATGAGAGACACCATGGAAGGCTGAACGTGATCAGGCTCGGTACCAGACAAGACAAGAGAAGCCTCAACAGGCTGACGAAAGCCGTAGGGAGCATGGTTCCACTTAAAGACAAGGAAAGCGGCGTAGAGGGTGTCATCAGAGAGAAGTGTTGTGTTCATCTTCCCAGTGATTTCAAGCCACCATACCATGTTCAGCTCAGCTACTTCTGTGAACCTGTGTTTTGTGAAATAAAGCAATCAAGAAGAAGAAGTTTAAGACTTTAAGGTCAAGGTGTAGACTGTAGACACAAGAGAACGTAAAGAGACCTGGTGTTGGGAAGAGAGATCCACTGCCAGTATCTATGATCATGTCCCCAAGTTATATCCAAGGCCCTCGCGCCCATCATGTAGCACTTGTTTCCACTCCTTCTCTCCAGCCAAAAGCTCTGTTTTTGAATTACACCATTAGAATTACTGTATGATGATATTTTTTTTTAAAACCCAAAATATTGATTCCAGAGGTTTGACTAGTCGGATCTTGTAGATCCGCAGTCAGTCACAAGTCACAAGACAAGGTTACGCATGAACAGAGCTTGGCTATAATTTGCAGTAAAATCTAATTGGATGAATCAAGGTTCATCTTTTTCGCCCCTTGACTAGAAAGAGAATGGACTGACTAGTGTATATTTGAAGACTAGACATACTTAACTTGATTGTTCCAGACGAAATTATAAGTATTAGAAATCGGATACTGATTGGAGGAGAAATAAGAAAAGTGTACCATTTGGGGGTCGTGGAGAAGAACAGGGTTGTGGACGAGGGAGAAGAAGAGGTGTTTCCTGCTGGGAAGACCCGGAGGTGCCGCAAAGCCGGCGGGGAAGTCGGAAGGTAAGAACTGATTCCAGACATCGTCGGACTCAGCGGCGGATCTGAAGAGCCTTGAGACGCACGATGATCGGCAAACGTCGGCAGGGGAAGTCAGTGAAAGGATCTTGGCGATGCAGTCCTCTGGCAGGTTATCCATTGCTCCGAATTCCCAAAATCCAATCGAGATTTGTTTTCCGATTTCCAGTTACCGGATCTCGTTGCAATTATTTATACACACTACTCCTCCGTTTGAGAGTAAAGAAGCGCTACGTTTTTTTTGATTGGGGAACAAAGCGGGACGTGTTACTCGTGGCATTAAATAAGATATTTACTTTTTTTTTGTTTCGGACAACTGTACACGTGTTTTTTTCTTACTCGCTTCTTCATTATATCAAGATAAAACCCACTGGACTAAAAGCTACCACGCACATGCTTGTCCACGTTTATCTATGTAATGTAATCTGTACACATTCAATTTATTTTATTTTACTAAAATTGGTCAAGTGAAACTCAAATGTTGTTGAATCTGAAAAAATAAAAGCGATTATAATTTCCAATTTTGAAGAAGAGACTAGCAAATCATTAGAATAAGAGGATTGGCATGCATAGCTTACAAGTTACAACAACACAGTAACACACTATCATCAATTAGCATTCGATTTTTTTTTTTATGAAAAAAAACATAATATTATGAATCTACATTGGATATCTGACTCCTGCAGCTAATAGCCTCTGCTGCTCCAGCTGCAACCATTCAAATTAAATCCAACAAAATAGTTAGTTACGTTAAGAACTGTATCCAAGATATATAGAGATATACATATACACTTGCTTCATGTTGGGTGTGTAATTAATATAAATCAATAAATGAGTGATCGAGTAGTACATGGAAGAGTTCATGCATCATATTCTTGAGGTAATGATACTCATGCTCCACTACCTCCAGTCCTCTCAAGCACCTGAAGCATCATCATCAATCATGATATATATATTTATAAATTTTGGAAAAGATAGCGTTTTATTTTCTTAGGAAACTGAAAGTATAAATGAAGAAACAGTAGCGTCAAATATGTACCCAGGGCGGTTGTTAAGCTCGGAAGCAGAGCGAAAGGCAACGCAGAGGTTACGAACCCGACGAGCACCAATGCTGGAACTGCTTCCCACCAACTGATTCAGATGCAATCCTATCTTCTTGTAGTCCGAGAATTCTCTATCCATCCTGTTTATTCATTTCATCATCTACATTAATTTTGGAACTATATATAATAACACACATGCAGCAAGAAAGATATATATATATATATATATATATGAAACTCACAGCGATAATCTAAGGTTGCGGAGTAACTTGTCGGATTCGTCGAAATAGATATTAATGACATCGTACACAAAGGTTGGTGAAGTGTCATCTTGAAGCTGCTGAAGCTGTAAGAACTGCTCGTCCAGCACTCCCTACACTCATCGTCACATAATTAATATATCATCCCTTTGTTAGAACAAACACATACATATGTGAATGGAGAGGTTGATATATAGTAATGAAACCTGGTGGAAAAGGGAGGTTAGAAGGCGGTTGATGTCGGCTTGAAGCCGGTCCACACCCAACCCCAACATACACAATGGCACACCCGTCTTGCCTGGTTCTTTCTTCTCTATGTAATCGAATTAACCGGTCTTGCTTCAACTCCTAGCTGCAAGGCTTATGATTCGCCTTGAGCTTTTGTTGAGGGGTATTTATAATTACTTACATAGGGTGAAGAGACCCACTTCTTCTTACATTCAAATTTATAAGAGTCAGGTTACTTTTTTCCAACTTTTAGCGTGATCATCAGCATTTAAATTCTTTTAAATTTGTAAGTGTAGAATATATTTAAATTCAACGCGCATGTGAAAATAAGGTAAGGTAAGTGGAAGAGAGGAGTAAGAATCGAGGTGTGTGTGGGGAATAAACGGGACCGTCCAAGAAAAAAAGCAGACAACCTCTCTCATATTCATAAATAACAACAACAACAACACTGTACTACAAGTGTACTTTTCTTGAGTCAGTACTGACCGGCTACAGCCGCCACCCGGTTACCTCGCGTGACACTGCCAATAGCGGCGTTTTTCCATTCCCCCCGACAACCGGCCAGACCAGGTTACACCTCCCGCATATATCTGCCTTAAATCAACTGCCTTTTTCTTTTCTTTTTTGCTTAAACTTTCTATCAAGAACTTGGCAGCAATCATTTATCGCTCTCTCTCTCTCCTTTGAAAATTAAATAAAAAGTCTAGGTAAGTTGTTTAATCTGAATCCACCGAATGGAGACAAATACGTAATATATTCAACGGTTAGAAGTTATCAAGTAAAAATGAGAGTTTAATTTTGAGATGTGATTGTAGTAACATAAATAATACTCTTAAAACAATATTGAAATTTTAAAATGTGGGCATGTATTTGTTTCTGAGACTGTAAAAGAAAGGCCCACACTTTGTTGCTCCCTCGTATAACGCGCGACTTTCCCACTAACTTTGCAGTGAGTGTTCGCTATTCTCCATGCTTCGAATTCAATCCATCCTTTTCTAGCCCTAAAAAGGTCTTTCTCTTTCTCGATCAAATAAATCAAAATTGATCTGGAAACAGAAATACTGCATAAGAGTACAAGAAACACAAACACAACACAGAAACATGCCTGAATTGTTTCCCCAAAGAAAGTAAAATCTATAGCTAAACACAAGAGACTAGAGAAGTCCCCCATTTATCTCCTGTCAGTATCATTAATTTTGACAGAATACTGTCTGTCACATACAAATAGTAGTAATCTACAGCGAACTGCCATATACAAAACCTGAAAGAAGAAGATAATAATTGATCTCCACATATATGTTTTGTCACACAATATGTATATGTTGCGGTACGTATGTTTAAAACAAAGTAATGTGACAGCTAACTTATTAGTTAACTCATCTAGTTTTTCTCATAGCTTTGGGTGTTTATTTATTTATGTATGTATATGGAGTATATGATTTACAACATTTGGCTAACTGAATACTTAAATATGGCACGTATAGTAGGCCTCTAATCATCCTTCTTAATGAGAACCAAAAAGTATACAATTATATAAAGTAGCACGGTAATTAATGAAGAATGATAGTAGTATTAGGACATAAAAAGCGTGCTCATAACTCATAAGTGTGAGCTAGTGAAATCATAATATATGAAAACATTAAACATATAGGAGCTATAGAATGGTGTAACCGGAGTTGCGTTATCGAGAAGATGCAGATAGAAATACCGAAAAAGAACAATGGGCGTGCTTTGAAACGGAAGAAACAAATAATTATATATACTTTTTATGCCATCATCAGAGCAAGTATTAGTAAAGTGGAGCGCATAATGTGTTGGAGGTTTTTTAAGGTTATGTTATCGATTAAAACTAGTGATTAAATTATGATTGTATAACTATATCCAGAAAAACAAAATTGTCTCATTCGTATGCCATGCTTGTTAGCGCCCGGTGCTCGAGTACCCATTAGTCACTTTTTTATTTGACATCATTAGTCACTCGACTCTCTTTCAGTATTTCATAATTCGTATGATTGTTTTGCTCTTTTTGTTAGTTTGCTATTTATATAAACTAGATTGTTTGCATCGATTGATTACGAAAGTAATATATATGACGTAATATTAGGAAACTAATCGAACTGAAAAAGCATTAATGTTGAACGAGTTCATACTTCATAGTAATACACATTTACAACAAAAGGACTAAATTCATAAATATTTTCCTGCAAGTTCCGTGTAGCGATAGTGTCTCTGTCAAGCAACAAGACTCGTCATTCCTCGCATTGATTCGGAAGTCGGAACAAATATCATTTCCTCTATATTTTCCCTTACGGTTTAGATAAAATAATAAATAAATGTTAACGACGCAACATTCGGTTTTAAGCCATTTTGAAGTACATGAGAAAATTAATAAAGTGCTAAAGGTTTTTCTATAAAAACAAAAAGGGATAAAATGGAATATAGAAGAGGAGTTAGAGATAATGAGCAGGGGAGATCAAAGCGGATCGGACAGCGGCGATAATATCAGTAAGGGAAACGAGGCCTTGTAGGACATTGTTCTGGTCCACGACCCAAACCCTGTGTACACGTTTCGCGGTGACCATCTGGATCACTTGGGCCAAGCTGGTTGTCACGTGACATGTCACCAGCTCCCTCTCTTGGCCTTGGGGGAAAAATGGCGTTCTTGGGATCTTCTCAGCGAACTCCAGCGCGTTTAAAAGTCAGGTGCGTACGTCCACGAGCTGTTTATGGTCCTGATTTTCGTCGCTGGAGGCTTCAACGATAGGTACCGCATTGAGCATCGCCATACTCATGCATTGTATTGCATCCATTACTCTGGCCTGTCAAACAGAGAAAGACATCACTTTAGTCTAGTAGTAGTCTGGTACTCTGGTACGATTAATTACTAATGATGAGAAAATTATAGTTTTGATTCATCTAGTTTATTACCTGGCTAGTGAGAGCCAAAACGGAGAGATCAGTGACGGTGCGGGAGAGGATAGGTTGAAGATGGGAGGACTGGTGGAGGAATAAGGAGATGAGATCCATTTGAGTGAGCATTGTGTAAGCAGAAGCTGACTCTACCAAGTGCTATTGTCAGAGCGACTCAACTACTGAACGACATATGATATTGTCCTTTTCCAGTCTGTTTTTAACTCATCAGCATATTCTATCACTTCTTCTTTGCCGCTATATTTAACGGTTTTTTCCCTTCCCTCTCTTTTCACTTTTTTGTTTTGTTTTTGTTATTGCTTATAGTAGTTATTTACCTGTATACGGACAACAGAAAGCTTTTTTCTTAAAGACTTCATCCTCATCAAATTTCTTTTTTTGATAGTTTGTAATAGGACTATATCACATAAAAATCTCTAGTTAGAAAACTGAATTGCTTTCGGTTATTCACATAAACCGAAAGTTTTGGAGTCTGTCTGCAAATGAAGAAACAGACTAGTCACTACCTCAAGGAACGAACAAAGTGTAAGTGAGCTTTACATATTGTGCTCGGAGTTGTCATATTACAAAATTATTTATCTCAAACATGAAACATGTGTCATGTAAGTCATACCAAACTAAGATGATTTATGCTCAAATAAGCTTTATTTAGATGAAAAATTGATAGCTCATGAATGAGCTTCAGTGTGCAAGAAATATAAAAGAGAACGAAGAACTAAAGCATATCACCAAGAGATAAAATATGTCGATTGATCTATCATAAAATGGGAAAGGAGGCTGCTTCAATGGCAGCCAAGGTTACGTAAGATGCATAGATACATGCATGCATGGGTTAGCTCAAATAGAAAAAGTTGCCGTCAAAAAAAAAAAAAAAAAGGTTAGGTCAAAATTTGACATTTTTTTAACTTTGCACATTCATGTGAAAACATGCTATTTGTAGATTCATGTTATTTTTCTGACTCAAATCATTGTAGATAAGAAAAATCCACGAAAAGATAATTGCATGATTCTCTTATTAAAAAGATAATTACAAACCCATTTTACTTTTCTAGGGTAAAAAACTAGATATTTATCTGATTAATTATTTCCTTATAATTACATTCGGCAAACCATATGATTTTATGATATACCAAAATGGTAAATTAGGAAATAGAAAAGGTTGCCGTCAAAAAAAAAAAAAAAAAAGGTTAGCTCAAAATTTGACATTTTGTTAACTTTGCACATATTGTTTATGTAGATTCATGTTATTTTGCCGACTCAAATCATATTAGATAAGAAAAATCAATAATTGCATCTCATATTGAAAAGATAATTACAAACCCATTTTACTTTTCTAGGGTAAAAACTATCTATTTTTTGTGATCATTTCCTTTTAAGTACATTCGGCAAACCATATGATTCTTAAAAGTTGGAATCTTCCCTTTTTTGATTTTTTCATTTCAGCTTGAATCTAGTTTTAACCTAGAAAAGTAAAATGAAAAAAGGGTAGATTCCAACTTTTAATTCTCAATTATCAGTAACTAGTATTCGCACAAAATTATCTTATCCCATGTCGATCAGATTCTTGCTTAACATTTTTAATACCTATTTTCCATATATGAATGGTAGTATACAGATTGCGTTTCCCATAAACAACAGATGATCTTATCTTGTTTTTCCTATAAATAATTAAGCTCAAACGCTTCACTTCATCATCAACTTATCAAAAGTCTAAGAACAAAAAAAAAGTGATATCAATGGTGTCTAGGTTTTGGATATTGTGTGCCTCTTCTCTCATCTTCTTCCTCGCTGTCTCAAGTGCTCCGACCGTTCAAGGTCAACTCTTCGACGTCAGAAACTACGGTGCTGGCGTAGACGGCAGAAGAAACAACGCGCTTGCGTTTGCAAAAGCGTGGATGGAAGCTTGCCAATGGAGTGGAGGAAGATCCACGGTCTATGTTCCTCCCGGAATATTCGATCTCCCGCAAGTGATGTTCACTGGTCCTTGCAAAAATCCTGTAACCTTCCTAATCGAAGGAACTTTATTGGCTCCTCGGAGTCCCGACGCCATCAAAGGCGATGCATGGATCATATTCAAGGACGTCGATTATCTCACCGTCACAGGTGGAGGATTACTTGACGGTCAAGGATCCTACTCTTGGCCTCATAATGACTGTGACAAAAACTCTAGCTGTCGTCCACTAGCTATAAATATGGGGTTTATGGTCGTTAAACACTCGAAGATCAACGTTCTACATTCGCTCAACAGCAAAATGGGACACTTCAAATTCTACGCAGTCGAGGATTTTAATGTTACCGGCGTCACCGTCACCGCTCCCGGAGATATATAGCCCTAATACCGACGGAATCAAGATCAGTAAATCCAAGGATATGCATGTTACCAACGTCACAATCGGAACCGGGGACGATTGCATCGCAATCCTCGACGGAACTTCCAATTTGGTTATCTCTGATGTCCGGTAAGTTAATTACCCTATGTCATATGATAATATTATTGATTTTTTTTTTCGTTTTACGTACTACCATGCAAGAAGTTTTTTTTTTTTTTTTTTTTTTTTTTTTTGTTTACCATGCAAGAAGTTCGACATATAACTTCTTTGTTTTTGATTTCATTACCAATATTATATCTTGATCTCTCGATATCTCCTAAATAGGTGCGGACCAGGGCACGGGATAAGTGTTGGGAGCCTTGGAAAACATAGTGGAGAGAAGAACGTTGAGGGCTTAACCGTAAAAAACTCGGTTTTCAACGGTTCAACCATCGGTTTACGGATCAAGACATGGGCTAAGTCGAATTCGACGATCAACGTTTCAAACTTCTTGTATGATAATATCCAGATGATCAATGTCGGGAACCCTATCGTCATCGATCAGCAGTATTGTCCAGATGGGCTTTGCGATAGTCCTGGAATATATGCTTCTCATATTCAGATCAAAGACGTCACCTACCACAAAATTTGGGGAACTTCGACGAAGAGAGAGGCTTTGAAGATGCAATGTAGTAAATTGGTTCCTTGTCAAGGCATTGTGCTCTCAGATATCAACCTAAGCTACACTGGAAGAGACGGTTTAGTCACGGCTTTGTGTGAGAACGTTGGTGGTTCCGTTGTTGGCAAGAATGTGCCTGATAATTGCCGGATGTTATGATCATCTTAATTAGTCATCTGTAAATTATTTATTATTAGGCTTTATCTATAACTTTATAGGACTAGAATTTTAATAGGTTGTCTTCGATGCAATAAGCTAATTAGATGCATAGCCTTAATAAACATCCAAATATATTATAAATTTGGGATGTGCAAGGTGTTTACGGCTATGCATCATGTTAGGAAAAGAAAAAAAGAGTTGGTCTAAATTTTATCAAGGCCGACCTTTTTTTTAATCAAATATATTATTTATTCTGTTTTAGGAAGAATAAATCTTGTAATTTTTTCACCTATTTATATTATTATGATTTAAGTTACTTCATAAATTTTATATAGTTTTGACCGACATTTAACAGCTAATAATATCTAAATGTATTTGTGCCAGTATATATTCAGACAGTGATTTTGGATAAAAATCAGTTGACGTTTATTTAACGTGTATCTTCGTATTTTGTGCCTCACAACAAAAGGACCAAATTCATAAATATTTGTCTGCAAGTCCCGTATAGCGATAGCGTCTCTGTCAAGCAACAAGACTCGTCGATCCACGCATTGGTTCCAAAGTCCAAAACAAATATCATTTTTCTCTACCTTTTTCCTTTTCGGTTTAAATAAATGAATATCAACGACGCAACATTCGGTATAATGAAATTATGAAAGTAAGTAGTGCATGAAAAAAAGAAAAGTGCGAAAAGTTTTCTATAAAAAAAAAGGATAAAAGAAAAGAAAATTTGGTAAAATGCAATGACAGGAGAGGAGTTAGAGATGGTGAGCAGAGGAGATCAAAGCGAATCGGACGGCGGCGATAATGTCAGTAAGGGAAACGAGGCCTTGTAGGACATTGTTCTGGTCCACGACCCAAACCCTGTGCACACGTTTCGTGGTGACCATCTGGATCACTTGGGCCAAGCTGATTGTCACGTGACATGTCACGAGCTCCCTCTCTTGACCTTGGGGGAACAATGGCGTTCTTGGGATCTTCTCAGCGAACTCCAGCGCGTTTAACGGCAACCAAGAACGCAACGTGGCTAAATGACAACCCTTCAGATCACTCGCAGAGAATGTCCCCACAACTCTCCGGTTTTTCCCCTGCACCAGCAAACAACACACACACACCAGATTCAATCGTTCGTAGAGATATGTTAAAGTAAAAGTCAGGTACGTACGTCCACGAGCTGTTTATGGTCCTGATTTTCATTGCTGGAGGCTTCGAGGATAGGCACCGCACTGAGCATCGCCATGCTCATGCATTGTATTGCATCCATTACTCTGGCCTGTCAAACAGAGAAAGACATCACTTTAGTCAAGTAGTAGTAGTCCGGTCCGATGAATTACTAATGATGAGAAAACCCTAGTTTTGATTCATTTAATTTATAACCTGGCTAGTGAGAGCCAAAACGGTGTGGTTTACAGCGGAGAGATCAGTGACGGTGCGGGAGAGGATAGGTTGAAGATGGGAGGACTGGTGGAGGAAAAAGGAGATGAGATCAATTTGAGTAAGCATTGTGTAAGCAGAAGCTGACTCTACCAATTCAGGTCCTGGGGTATTCTCTATGTTACTGTCCAATGGAACCAATACTCTGTGTATTCCTTTGCTCAACATCTCCATACAGTCCATTATGCTGCTTTTTTCATCATAGTTTATAAATTATAACCATCATTAATATTTAACATCATTTCATGTATGTCCTAGTTCTGTGATTTTCATTAATTAGTTACCTGGAACTGGGGTTGAGAGACCACAAGCTGCGACCCTCAGGGCAATGACCAATGATAGAAGAGACAGGAGCAGCCATTTTCTTATCAAGCCCATCCTCTCCGGCGATGTGAGCCACAACATCCAGCATCGTCACCATTCCTATGTACTGTTTCTTTGCACTTCCTGTCTCAACCATTGGCCTGGCGCCGCAGCCACAGGCACCGCTCTTACTCGGTTTGCCACCGGTTTCATACCAAAAAACGACTTTCTTGTTAATCATTTCGTTATTAGAAACGGTCAATTTTATTTGTATTGCTTTTCTATTAATTTTAAAATAATATCAATTTAATTAACCAGTGCTTAATTACCATGGCGTTCAAGGCGTCTCCTAGAGTGGCGCTGTCGGAAACTTGGACGAGAGGGCATTTATTGACGGTCAGATCTTTGACCTTGAACTCCATCACACGGCTATAGTTTGACGACTGCATCAAGATTTTGTGTTTGGGTGAGTGCAAACAAATCCAAGAGCTTGAAATTGAAACTAATCCTAGTCGGAGGAAATGAGATGCGGCTGATAAACTTCCTCTCATACTTCATACTTGTTGTATCTTCTTTTGTTTTGGTGCTTCCTAGTTAATTCATTATTCATCTTACCACTAGCTAGTAAGATGACATGTGGTGCTCCATGGCATGTGCATTTCGAGTTCACTGACCACGCGTCCGTTTATTCATTTTTTAGTGTCACAACATACTGATTTCAATTGTATCACTAACATAAAAATCATTTTATGACTCGAAGTAAAAAGTTGTTAATCCCTTACAAGTACAATGACAACGGTAAATGGGCACATAAATTACGGCCCAATTATTATACATACAGGGCCAATAATTTGGACGCTGATCCATTTATCAATTACCAGTGACTCTAGCCAATCCGGAAGGTTTAGATAAACCGCCTATGCATCATTTCGATGCCGCCTGATTTTTTTTATTTTAAGGTCATTTACTTCCGTTTCTTTGTGTAAAATAACATTACTCGTCCTTCTCTCTCTGAAGCGACTCACCCGAAAAGTTGTTTTAGGGTTTTTCTTTACTCGATTAAGCTCACTAGTTCTTCACAAGCTAGATTCACACTGGCGCGGGGGATTTAGGGTTTATTCCTCGGCGATTGCGCTTGCGCTTGCGCTTGGCTTGGATTTCGAATCCTAAGCTATGTGGAACAACAACGATGGTATGCCCTTAGCTCCTCCTGGTACCGGCGGGTCGATGATGCCGCCACCTCCCGCTGCACATCCTTCTTACACGGCGCTTCCGCCGCCATCTAATCCGACTCCTCCGACTGAGCCTACTCCTGAGGAGGCGGAGGCGAAGCTTGAGGAGAAGGCCCGTAAATGGATGCAGCTAAATTCGAAACGGTACGGCGACAAGAGGAAGTTTGGATTCGTGGAAACACAGAAGGAGGACATGCCACCTGAGCACGTCAGGAAGATCATTAGGTGAGATTTCTTTACTTTGAATGATTTATCGCTCTATGATTTCGGAATCCAGCTATCTGGAGATTATTTCTCTTCCTGCTTGGGAAACGGCACCCGATTTCTCCTGTTTTTGTTAGGATTTACTTAGATTGAGTCTGAAGGTGCGATTTCTTTGTTCAGGGATCATGGTGATATGTCATCGAAGAAATATCGTCACGACAAACGTGTATACCTTGGAGCCCTTAAATTCGTGCCTCACGCAGTCTTCAAGCTCCTGGAGAATATGCCCATGCCATGGGAGCAGGTACCTTTTTTTAGCTTAACTGGTATCTCCTTAGCTTCTGCAGTTTTGCTTAAGATATCTAAGTCCCCGTTTACTTCCAGGTCCGAGACGTGAAGGTTCTATACCACATCACCGGAGCTATAACATTCGTAAACGAGATACCGTGGGTTGTGGAGCCCATATATATGGCTCAGGTGGGTTAATAGTCTCTCTCTCTCCTTGTGTCTGTACATTGATGGGTTTCCAAAAGATGTTTTTGAGTGATGTTATTCCATTCTGTCTGGTTTTGCAGTGGGGGTCCATGTGGATCATGATGCGTAGGGAGAAGAGGGATCGTCGTCATTTCAAGAGAATGCGATTTCCACCATTCGATGACGAGGAGCCTCCGTTGGACTATGCAGACAACTTGTTGGACGTGGATCCTCTAGAGCCAATTCAGTTGGAGCTAGATGAGGAAGAAGATTCTGCTGTATACGCTTGGTTTTACGACCACAAACCACTCGTAAAAACCAAACTGATCAATGGTCCAAGCTACCGGAGGTGGAATCTCTCACTTCCAATTATGGCAACCCTTCACAGGCTTGCTGGCCAGTTGCTATCTGATTTGATTGATCGCAACTACTTCTACTTGTTTGACATGCCATCTTTCTTCACAGCAAAGGCTCTGAACATGTGCATACCTGGTACGCTATTTCCCTTGGATGCTCCTGTTTTGATATTTTCAGTTCCTGTTCTTCTTCTAATGCATTCTGTGACTCTTTTTCAGGAGGCCCTAAGTTTGAACCTTTGTACCGTGATATGGAGAAAGGGGATGAGGACTGGAATGAGTTTAATGACATCAACAAGCTTATCATTCGTTCTCCTCTGCGTACTGAGTACAGAATAGCTTTTCCCCATCTGTACAATAATCGGCCCAGGAAAGTAAAACTCTGTGTGTATCACAGTCCTATGGTTATGTACATAAAGACCGAGGACCCTGATCTTCCTGCCTTTTATTATGATCCGTTAATTCACCCAATAAGCAACACAAATAAGGAGAGGCGTGAAAAGAAGGTTTATGACGACGATGATGAGGATGACTTCGCCTTGCCAGAAGGAGTGGAGCCTTTGCTAAAAGACACCCAGCTCTACACTGACACTACAGCTGCTGGCATTTCATTGTTGTTTGCCCCACGCCCTTTCAATATGAGGTCTGGGAGAACACGACGGGCAGAAGATATTCCGCTGGTGTCAGAGTGGTTCAAGGAGCACTGGTAAGCTATTTCTCTTGATTCCATTTTGGGTTTCTTTCAAATTTTACTATTGCGCTAATACTTTTGTGAACTCATTATCTGCAGTCCTCCAGCATATCCGGTTAAAGTTCGGGTGAGTTACCAAAAGCTTTTGAAATGCTATGTGTTGAATGAGTTGCACCATAGACCACCTAAAGCCCAGAAGAAGAAGCACTTGTTCCGATCACTTGCAGCTACAAAGTTCTTCCAAAGTACCGAGCTGGATTGGGTTGAAGTGGGTTTGCAAGTCTGCCGGCAGGGGTATAATATGTTGAATCTGTTGATTCACAGGAAGAATTTAAACTACCTGCATCTTGACTACAACTTCAACCTTAAGCCTGTGAAAACTTTGACCACCAAAGAGCGAAAGAAGTCACGTTTTGGGAACGCTTTCCATCTCTGCCGAGAGATTCTCCGGCTCACCAAACTTGTTGTTGATGCGAATGTCCAATTCCGACTTGGTAATGTTGATGCTTTCCAGTTGGCTGATGGTCTGCAATATATCTTCTCCCACGTTGGCCAGTTGACGGGTATGTATCGTTACAAATACAGACTGATGAGGCAAATTAGGATGTGCAAGGATTTAAAGCACTTGATATATTACCGTTTCAATACTGGTCCTGTGGGTAAGGGACCGGGGTGTGGATTTTGGGCCCCAATGTGGAGGGTGTGGTTGTTTTTCCTTCGGGGAATAGTTCCTCTTCTTGAGCGATGGTTAGGGAATCTTCTTGCACGTCAATTTGAGGGGCGTCATTCAAAAGGAGTGGCCAAAACAGTCACAAAACAGAGAGTTGAAAGCCATTTTGATTTGGAGCTTCGTGCTGCTGTCATGCATGACGTTCTTGATGCCATGCCAGGTTTCCCATTTTTCAAACTTGTTATTTCTTGTGATTTCAAACGATGATATTGCTTTGCTTTATTCGTTGGCTAATATTTTCCTGCGAATGTGCAGAGGGTATCAAGCAAAATAAAGCGCGGACAATATTGCAGCACCTTAGTGAGGCATGGAGGTGCTGGAAAGCTAATATCCCATGGAAGGTCCCTGGGTTGCCCGTGCCAATTGAGAATATGATCCTTCGTTATGTCAAGTCTAAGGCTGATTGGTGGACAAATGTTGCTCATTACAATCGTGAGCGTATCAGAAGAGGGGCTACTGTTGATAAGACAGTTTGTAGGAAGAATCTCGGAAGGTTAACTCGTCTCTGGCTAAAGGCAGAACAGGTCTGTACATTGTCTTAAGCTCTATAACTTTTTATTAAGAGGCTTGATATATTGATTTGAGTTAATTAGTTCCCTTTTATCTTTGATTTCCCAGTTCTCTGATGTGTTATCATTGTCAAACTGTTACAGGAACGACAGCACAATTACCTGAAAGACGGTCCATATGTCACTCCGGAAGAAGCACTAGCAATCTATACAACTACTGTTCATTGGCTGGAATCAAGAAAATTTTCTCCAATTCCATTCCCTCCATTGTCGTACAAACATGACACGAAATTGCTCATCCTGGCCCTTGAAAGACTGAAGGAATCATATAGTGTAGCTGTGAGGTTGAATCAGCAGCAGCGAGAGGAGCTTGGTCTAATTGAACAAGCTTATGACAATCCTCATGAAGCCCTGTCACGAATAAAACGTCATCTTCTCACCCAGCGTGGCTTCAAAGAGGTAATAATTCACTCTATGTTGGAGCAATTGATTGAATATATGACGACAGTTAACGTAGTAAACTGATGGTGTTTACGTTTTTCTGCAGGTTGGCATAGAGTTTATGGATCTATATAGCTACTTGATTCCAGTTTATGAAATAGAGCCTCTAGAGAAAATTACCGACGCCTATCTTGATCAGTACTTGTGGTACGAGGGTGACAAGCGCCACTTGTTTCCAAACTGGATCAAGCCAGCTGACTCAGAGCCGCCACCACTTCTCGTTTACAAGTGGTGCCAAGGTATTAATAATTTGCAAGGCATCTGGGACACAGGTGATGGGCAGTGTGTGGTGATGCTCCAGACTAAGTTCGAAAAGTTCTTTGAGAAGATCGATTTGACAATGTTGAACAGGTACCTATCTCATTAATGCTTCATTAAATACAGATATTGAGCATCAACTTTCTGTAGTAATAATGAATATTTTGTGCTGCTTCTTTCAGGCTTCTTCGTTTGGTTCTCGATCACAATATTGCAGACTATGTGTCTGCCAAGAATAATGTAGTCCTCTCTTACAAAGATATGAGCCATACGAACTCATATGGTCTCATCAGGGGACTTCAGTTTGCATCGTTTGTTGTTCAGTTCTATGGACTATTACTTGATCTTTTGCTGCTTGGTTTGACTCGAGCCAGTGAAATTGCTGGGCCACCGCAGATGCCCAATGAGTTCATGACGTTTTGGGATACTAAAGTGGAGACACGTCATCCCATCCGTCTGTATTCGCGGTATATAGACAAAGTTCATATAATGTT